TAGGTACATATCCAGAAATGGCTCTTCTCCCAGCGATAGCTCTCATATGTTAGGTGACGAGCCTGGCACTCAACATCCTGCTTGACCATTGTATAGCACCAGTGATGGCTCATAGCAGTATTGTATAGCATGCAGAAACAGATATGATTGGCTACATCTGACCACATGCCACTTGATATTAAAAGTAAACCATGGGTAAGTGTTCCTTGATTACCTTCTTTAGGTGGCCGTCTGTATATTACGAGAGTGACTGGTCTAAGCTTACTGTGAGGCATCTGTGCATATACTCGGAGAACACATTTTAATCTTGGGACAAATTGATCTGCCAGAGGGATCATTTTATTGCCGTGAATTAACTGAAACAAATCATGAACATTCTAGACCCAACTGGATTTTGTTTTATTGTAAAAATTCTGGAAGCCCTTATAAGTTCTGGGAAACCCAGTCAAAACAAGATACGCTGACCCCACCTGTGGAAAGCCCCGGTTTGGAATAGGCACGTAGGTGAGGCTCATGCTGAGGCCCGTGCTGCATTCAAAGCTTGGGTGGAGGCATGGGAGATGCAGGAGTGACCTCTGTTAGAAAACAAGAACTATGCAAATGCAGAACCAATACAGTCTGAGGTACATAAAAAAGAATGAACAGCGTCTAAGGGCTGAATCTCCAGCATCTAAGCTCCAGACAACACCTGCAGTGACTTTTTGGAAGAGATAAGAATGGATGAGATCAACAGCAACACCTCCCTCACCTTCGGATGTGGAGGAGTGAGTGGCTCAACAAATATTTGTCAAATTATGGAAAGAATTTTACTTTGATCCTTTAAAATTGTATTAAGGGAAAAGCTCCATTTAGGTTCCTAATTTTAAACAATGGCAGAGTTCAATAGTAAAACGCCACAATAGAGTTTTTAATGATGTCCACAAACTCAAAAGTAAAAATGTCATGTGGCTCAGATAATATCACATCTGACACCTCAGATTTGGCAAGTAGGCAATATGTCACCCTCCTCATGCTGGCCCTGTGTTTTCACACGGATCGATGGTTCATGGTTAGTCTGCCTGAATCTCTACTGTCAGATCTGCTGGTCCCTGTTATTAAAGACAAAAGCATAAACGACTAGCTCAAGCTACAATCGTCCTATAGCTGTTGGCTAGCATCGTTTCCAAAGTTCTTGAGACTGTGATTTGAAAATAAGACTTGAACCTTTTTATTAAGTACAACTATTTAACCATTATGGTATAAAATCTGGCCAGGTACAGACACTTAGTAATTTTGTTACTGATTATTTATATAGCACAATTCATACACAAGGCAATTCAAAGTGCTGAACAAAACAAGAAAGCATTAAAATCATAAATAATCAGTAGCTAAAAACCTGACAGTGTGTATGCGTGGGACTAAAAGTAGCTAAAAACATAGCTAAAAACCTGATAGTGTGTAAGTTTCGGCATCACAAGTATAGCAATACCTGTTAAGTTCCCAGAAGTATAGTAACAATCTGGTGTGGGACATTGTTTGTGAAATCTTGGATTTTGACGTGATATTACTGTTCAGGACCTCCAGGGGGCCATGCCTGATTTTTTTTGCTGCTGTAAACCCTACAGAAAGGCTGGGTCCCACAATGCATGTCCTGGTCTGGTGGTCCCACGAGATGATAAAGACAAGTATGTGTGTGTGTGTGTGTGTGCGTGTGTGTGTGTGTGTGTGTGTGTGTGTGTGTGTGTGTGTGTGTGTGTGTGTGCATGTGTGTGTGTGGCTTTTATTACCTAGATCTATGTTTGTGGTTTGAAAGTTTGCAAGCCCAGCTTTAAGTAGAAAATACACAAATCTACAGTACAGACCAAAAGTTTGGACACACCTTCTCATTCAAATATTTTTTTATTTTCATGACTATGGAAATTGTAGATTCACACTGAAGGCATCAAAACTATGAATTAACTTATGTGGAATTATGTACAAACAAAAAATAAGTATGAAACAACTGAAATCATGTCTTATATTCTCGGTTCTTCAAAGTAGAACCTTTTGCTCTGATTACTGCTTCACACATTCTCTTGATGAGCTTCAAGAGTTATTGACCTGAAAGGATGGTCTTCCAACAGTCTTGAAGGAGTTCCCATGATGCTTAGCACTTGTTGGCCCCTTCACTCTGTGGTCCAGCCCCAAAACCATCTGGATTGGGATCAGGTCCGGTGACTGTGGAGGTCATCTGGCCCAGCACCCGTGCACTCTCCTTATTGGTCCAACAGCCCTTACACAGCCTGGTGTGAATCTACAGTCAATAGTCATAAAAAGAATGGATTGAATGAGAAAGTGTGTCCAAACTTTTGGTCTGTACTGAATATATATACAAACATGTGAAAGCTAGAATTGGAACCAAACTGTTTTCTAATGCTTCTTGGATGCATGCGTCGTACGCTCGATATATGTTTTTAGTAATCTTTCCATCACAACCTGTTTTTCTCCTTAAGCCTTGACACCTGTGTGTTTATGTTGACTTCATGACTTTTGGTCGTTTATTCATTGAAGGTAAACTGATTCTTTTTATTGTTAAAATAGCAGATAAGTAAAGCCACACCACAGGGAAAGTGCGGGGAGATTGTTGACTTTCAGATTCATGCTGCTAAAATCTGGAACAGTCTTCCTGAAAATGTGAGACAGGCCTCCTCTCTGGCACTTTTTCAATCCAGGTTATAAACAGGTGCCTTGTGTATGAATTGTGCAACACAAATACACTTGCCTTGCCTTTAAAGGTACACTCTGTGGGTTTTTTTTCCACCCAGCGTTGAGATCATACAGTATATTGCAAGTCTACTTCTACCACCAACACTACGGAAGCCTCCGAGGACAATATGTCGTGTTTGACAGTGGTCCCCAACACCCGGTAATTCACCGGAATTTGAAACTTGTGACATAGTAGTTGGACTGCGCTCGGATCGGGTCAGAACATCCTGAGTCTGTGTTGTAGATTCTGCCTCGTTCACCCCCATTGCCTAGAACAAGTATAGTGTGTGTGTGAATGGTTGGTGGTGGTCGGAGGGGCCGACGGCACATACTGGTTGCCTCGCTTCTGTCAGTGTGTCCCAGGGCAGCTGTGGCTACAGTAGTAGTTTATCCCCACTGTGTAAGGAGTGAATGATTAATGACATGTGAAACATCTCTGAGTGTCCAAAAAAGCGCTATATAAACTGATGCATTATACATGAAGACAGAGAGATGAATGGAACTCGCCCATATTTGGGCATCGTCTGGTCCTCCCGGTTCTGCGCAGTGGACGAGCTCCCATAATGCATTGCGAAAAATACTCATGTGTGACTCTCATGCACGTGCACAGAGGAGCTCGGAAGAAAATTTAGAGAGTATGTGGCAGTAAAGTGTGGATTTAAAGAAAACCGAAGGATTTAAGAAGAAGAAAAGTTCAGGATGACAAGGAACACTAAAATCCCCACAACATTTCTGAAAGCTGCAGGTTCTCTGTCAGGTTCTCTGTCAGCTGAGGTCGAGCTGTTTTAGTTTACATTGAGTTCTATGGGACTTTTTTCTGAGTATCCCTCATGAGTTCAGTCTGCAGTACCAACAGCGCCCCCTGTGCCCGTGGGTGGGACAGCTGTAAGCTAGTAATACCCTATCCAGATATTATTATAGATCCATGTACTCAGCTCTCATGGACATCTCAAGTCATTTTTTTAAGAAAGGTCACATTGGTTATTAATTGTGTGTTGTGTGTAATTGTTTTTTTTTTCATTGTGAGCTACTGTAAAAAATATGCAGAGTGGCTTTAACTTGATTTTTTACTTTGTTTCGACTTACCAAATAAACAAATATGAATGTTTTATATCTAAAGACAACCCTATGTCTTCTCTCCGCTCCTCATTTGTGTGAAAGCCCAAAACAGGTTTAAAAACAGTATAATATCATTGAATAACTTGCTGTACCTCTAATACTGACACATATACAGTCATGTTGGTTGATCTGTTCTGTCTCTGTTCAAAAAAAACAAATCGATAAAAAAGTAAAATATAGTGTACAATTTCATATTCTCATTTCTTCTGGGAACAAATCAGAACCTGGTCTTTGTTTGAGGGCTGAGTGAAGGACAGTTTTTTGATAAGGGCACTCTGCGTTCCACCAACTTCAGGTCAATCTGTCTTTATGTTTTTAACCGCAGCGGAAGCAGATTTCAAACACCAGCGAGGTCTTGCCCAGGGCTATCTTTGCTTTGTCATTCAGGTTGATAAAACATCTGTGTGTATTCATATAATAAACGGCCTTTACAGTTTGATCTTTATTAGTATCAGAGTTATGTTTAATACCATTGTACACACAGGAAGTCACAAGCAAGGAATTGGCTTTAGCTCACATAAGTATTCAAAGTAAAAAATAAATGCAAAGTCATGAGTTCTTTGCTAATGATAACACCATCAGAGTCTTTGTTGAACCCATGTCTGTGATGTGATTGGATTGGTCCGGCCCGCTGCTTGTAGAAAATGTGTTTTTTTGGCCCTCTGATGTGTTTGACTTTGACATCCCTGACATGAAGCTTGCATACAAATGACTGCTATATACAAGTGTTATACTGTACAAACATTTACTATATACAAGTGCACTAACTTCTAAATGCAGAGGTTGTTCTCACTTATAATTTGAGTAATGAAGAGGCCAAAATAACAGGGCCTCAGCTTTACAAATACATATCATTAATATGTTATGATGATTTATAAAGCTGCGTTGTTTCGCTTGTGGCACCATACACATTTTAAAGCCAAATACTGTGAGAACTCTGAAGCTAAGCGGGGCATGGCCTGGTTAGTACTGTGATGGGAGACCTCTGTGAACAGCAGGTGCCACAGTGGGACGGCTGTGGGTGTTTTTTTTTTGTTCTGAGATTGCAGTTTTTCTCACATGTATGCAACAAATCAAAAGTTTTCTAATGAGATGAAGACATAATGTTGTGGTCCGGTTAGTTCCACAAGACTCTTTTTCTTTTTCTGGTTTGGTGAATGGCCTCCTCTGATCTGCTCACAGGGACCGTGTGGGCTCAGCAGATCATCGTCTCCATCTACAAGTTGTCCGTGGGTCTGGAGGAGAGTCAGAACAACATGACGCAGATGCCGTGGCTGGAGTTTGAGGCTCTGAAGATGGACCACTCCAAACGACCATCTCCTCGACTCTACTCCTCCCACCTGCCCCCAGCTCTCATGCCCCCGGGTCTGAAGGAGGGGAAGGGGAAGGTAAGATACTGCTGCTGCTGCTGCTGCTGCTGCTGCTGCTGCTACTGCTACTGCTGTTACTACTGCTGCTGCTGCTGCTGCTGCTACTACTACTACTACTACTACTACTACTACTGCTGCTTCTGCTGCTGCTGCTGCTGCTGCTACTACTGTTGTTACTACTGCTGCTGCTGCTGCTGCTGCTACTACTACTACTGCTGTTACTACTGCTGCTGCTGCTGCTGCTGCTGCTACTACTGCTGCTGCTGCTGCTGCTGCTGCTGCTGCTGCTGCTGCTACTACTGCTGCTGCTGCTGCTGCTGCTGCTGCTACTACTGTTGTTACTACTGCTGCTGCTGCTGCTGCTGCTGCTGCTACTACTGCTGTTACTACTGCTGCTGCTACTGCTGCTGCTGCTGCTGCTGCTACTACTACTACTGCTGTTACTACTGCTGCTGCTGCTGCTGCTGCTGCTGCTACTACTACTACTGCTGTTACTACTGCTGCTGCTACTGCTGTTACTACTGCTGCTGCTACTGCTGTTACTACTGCTGCTGCTTCTGCTGTTACTACTGCTGCTGCTACTGCTGTTACTACTGCTGCTGCTGCTAATACTGCTGTTACTACTGCTTCTGCTACTGCTGTTACTACTGCTGCTGCTGCTACTACTGCTGTTACTACTGCTACTACTGCTGTTACTACTGCTGCTACTGCTGTTACTGCTGTTACTACTGCTGCTACTGCTGTTACTACTGCTGCTGCTGCTACTACTGCTGTTACTACTGCTACTACTGCTGTTACTACTGCTGCTACTGCTGTTACTGCTGTTACTACTGCTGCTACTGCTGTTACTACTGCTGCTACTGCTGTTACTGCTACTGCTGTTACTACTGCTGCTGTTGCTAATACTGCTGTTACTACTGCTGCTGCTGCTAATACTGCTGTTACTACTGCTTCTGCTGCTACTACTACTGTTACCACTACTGGTGCTACTTCTGCTGTTACTACTGCTGTTACTACTGCTGTTACTACTGCTGTTGCTGCTACTGCTGTTGTTACGACTGTTGCTGCTACTACTACATACTAACGCCACTGCTTTCTTGTACATGTATTATTATAACCAAACATATTGCTTATGTGTAAAATATAATATAACAATTTTTTTTACTGAACTAATTGTTTGTGTTTTTTCTGTTTTTTTTCTTCAGATTGTGCACGTAATGAGGAATCCCAAAGACAACATGGTGTCGTATTTCCACTTCAGCACCTCCTATTCTGACCTCCCCACTCCCAAAAGCTTTGACCACTTCATAGAGGATTACCTAACGGGAAACGTCAGTAAGTCACGTTGTTAATGGGCAACAATTATCATTCAGAGGTGATGATGCCAAAACAAAAGCAGACACTTACAACATTCATGATTTTTTAGTTCAGTCCATCTCTCTGTTTGGATGTTGAATTTAATGATAATATTGTTTCATATAGCACTTTTTCTGGACACTCAAACACGCCTCATAAGTCATTCATCCAGTTATTCATCCACTCCTTGCCTAGTGGTGACAGAAAACTACTGTAGCTCCAGCTGTTCCCAGAGGTCTCCCATCATCGTACTAACCAGGCCCTGCCCTGCTTAGCTGTAGGGGACTGACAGGATCTGGGTTTTTCGCATGCAGGTGATGCCATCCCTCCAGAGCCTGAGTGTTTTGTGTAAAAAACAGAAGTGTGAAACATGTTAAAGGTTAGAAACAGTCTGTGCAGGATATAATTATGTACAATAATAATAATGATAATATTTTTTTCCCATAACCGCTGTTCCCAAAGTCTTGAGCAAAACAAGTATCTTCCAGAGTCTCCACTAACAATTTAATAATACAAAAAAAAAATCAATCAATTGTAAATGACGGGAGATTTAAGGACTTTTATGGAATTTTTTTATCTCGCTTCCTATGGACGGATGGCTTCTACGTGTTTGTTATAATTATTTTTCCTGTCTTTTAATTATTTGGTTAACCAAAAAGTTACATCACAAGTCATATCAACAAAAATAATTGTTAAATATTTTCTTGCAGTTCACACAGTCCACCAGCAGAGGTCACCACCGATGCTCATGATGATCCAAACTGTGGCCTCAGGGGAAAATGCAGATCCATTTAATTCAATCATTTATTTTTGTGTAGCCCTGAATCGCAACAACAGTCGTCTTAGAGGAAAAACAAAGTTGTCGATTCACCGACAACAGATCAGAGAATTAAACATTTCAAACACAGGAAAAGCAATAATAACAAACACGTAGGAGCTCGAGGACCAATGTCCACAAATCTAAATATTTTGGGCCATCAGACCTCATAGAAAATTTTTGTTGGTATTTTATAGTAAGTTACATTTTTAATGTAGTTCATTAGTTTGTAAATTATACAACACAGAGTGAATGTGTGGTGGTAAATCAACAATAATAATTAATATTTACAGTCAATGATTAACACACCAAACTTCTCACAAACTTACGAAAGATTATTAGGTTCACTTGTGAGTGTGGTTTTTTACGCTGGTATGTTATTTCATGATAATTTCATGTTATTTCAAGATAATATCATGTTATTTCAAGATAATATGTTATTTCAAGATAATATCATGTTCGTACAAGATACGGATCATGTTATTTCAGGATACCAATTTATTATGAAATAACAAGATAAATATCATGTTATTTCAGGATACCAATTTAATATGAAATAACAAGACACTGTAGATACAGAAGAAGAAGCTGTAGACCCCAGACAATACACCAGGAATGGCTCAGGCAAAGGACCCGCTTTGCACCTTTCTGCGACAGCGAGGGGTGTCAGAGGGATCTGAGTTGTGGATGCAGGAAGATCGAGTCAGTGATCAATGTGAAGTTATGAACTGCTATCACCATAATTACATATACTGTATCAGCAATGATTTATAATATTTCAAGATTGTAAACAATGAAATAAAAAGCACCATACAGTTCATTTCATGTTGTAACAGAGCTAACATGCACGGCTTCAGCCCACTGCTGTTCACGCAGTTTATATATCGTTATATATCAACAATCAAATTATTCCCTATTATTATTATGACCCTATTTGGTCATTATTTCTATAACAATAGTTTAATTTAAGGCCAGAAAATACAGTTTAGCCTTTAACTTGACCGTCATGGGAAATACAAAACTAGACTGACAAGCTAACACTCCAGCCTCATGGAGCTAAACATGTAATTATGGTGATAGCAGTTCATAACTTCACATTGATCACTGACTCGATCTTCCTGCATCCACAACTCAGATCCCTCTGACACCCCTCGCTGTCGCAGAAAGGTGCAAAGCGGGTCCTTTGCCTGAGCCATTCCTGGTGTATGGTCTGGGGTCTACAGCTTCTTCTTCTGTATCTACAGTGTCTTGTTAATTCATAATAAATTGGTATCATGAAATAACATGATCTGTATCTTGTACAAACATGAAATTATCTTGAAACAACGTGAAATTCTCATGAAATAACATGATACCAGCGGAAAAAACACACACTCACAAGTGAACCTAACAATCTTCCATAGAAACTTAAAATAAAAACATATCATTTTGTTTAAAAAAACATAATATCATTATGTTTTGGCCTCAAAGGCAGGTCACTGTGAGCTTCTGTTTCCTCTAACGATAAACCATCTATGAAGGAGGAATCCAAGGCCACACACACACACACACACACACACACGCACACATACACACACACACGCACACACCCATACACACACACACATCCATACACACAAACACACACCCATACACACACACACACACGCAGACACACACACTTACACACACACACAGACATACACACACACACACACACACACGCACACACACACACAGACATACACACGTACACAGACACATGCGCACACGCACACAGACATACACACGCACACAGAAACACACACACACAGACATACACACACACACATACACACGCACACACACACAGTCATCTCAGCTTGTCTTTAGTCTGGCGAGTTCCTTTAATCAGAAATGGACTCATTAATAAGTATACTTTATGTGTTTATTTACACCCCTGCAGGCCCAAGTCCTCTTCTACAGTTTTTGTCTGAATATTCAGAATAACAAATGTTTGGGCTCTTGCTGTTTGTCTCTTGTGGCTCTTTTAAAATGAACCTTTGTGTTTCCTTCTCAGTGGGAGCTTCGTCGTGGTTCGATCACATCCAGCAGTGGTACTGGCCCGGTGAAAAGTACGACATCCTGCATCTGACCTACGAGCAAATGATAAAGGTGAGAAACACTGCAGGGTTTGTGTCTGTTCACGTTCTCTGACTTTGTGCAACGACACTAGATTTACATAAACCGTAGATTTCAGACTGTGAACTGTGAACGACCTTTTCTAGTGCGGCTTATGTAGCGATGCAGCTTATGTGTATTTTCCTTGTGGTAGAGTTGGGCTGTTGTCAGACCAGAGTTTGTGGACTTATTATTTTGAGTCTATCATGTTTTAGTATAGTTTTAGAGTAGTATTCTGAATGAATCAGAATCATTAAAGAAAAAAATAAATTTGAGTCGATAAACTGTTGTGTCCAGTTAAAACTGTGGTCCATCTGCTGCATTACAACATGGAAACCTGCGGCTTATATTCAAGTGCAGCCTTTATGTGGACTTTTAATGGTTTTTTTTTATTTTTTTCGAATTTGCTGGTGCGGCTTATATACACAATACAAAAAGTGGTGAAAATTAAATACAAAATTGCTCAAATTTGGTAAAGAGTTAATTTGAGCACATTAATCCTGCCCAAAGCAAGGTTTGCCAATGGGACAAGCAAAATGACATCCTTACATAGAAATGGTCAAACCAGGACGTATTTCACTGTTATACAATTTGTCTGAAATGTCAAAGCTGAAGAACCCAACTTTCAAACCACAAAAATATATGATGTTATAAAATGTAGAATAATAAAAGTCCTTTAGGTCTCAAATCAAATCAGTTTGGCGCTTTAGCATTATAGCATTCATATGTTTTTTGGCATCCGTCACATCTTAAGAAACGTGATTAGAGAGGACCACCTTCTCTCAGCCAATCAGCTCTCAGCCTAAAGAGTCAAACTGTGACTCACGAAGCTCTCTCTCACAAGTTTGCAAAAGCATGTGGTGGTCTGACCCTTCACTCCTGGGGAAAAACAAGATTCCCCGGCTCTAAATCTAACATGACAGTCATGTGTTGAACAATAATGGAACTGTTTTCTGTAGGATCTGAGAGGAGCGGTCGTGAGAATCTGTAAATTCTTGGGCCAAAATCTCAGCGACGCAGCCATCGACGAAGTTGTGGAAAAGTCCAGTTTCAAGTCGATGAAGAACAACTCCAAAGCCAACTACAAGTTTGTCGGAGATCGGCTCAAGGGAGACTTCCTGCGCAAAGGTGAGTTTTTCTAATGGTTCATATTTTTATAGAATTTTAAGAATTGCAATTTACCCCCAGTCCCTTCCACAACATCCCCAAGAGGAGAGATAGCATATGACATTACACACAAAATACATTTATAATAAGAAGGAAAAATAAGAATGATAATAAAATAAATGAATCTGTGTGTTTTGTGTTTATAGACCTCCTCACTCCATTAATAAACAAAACTAAACTCAAAAGCAGGAATGAGGACACGCAGTAGTAAAGAAAAATTTCTAACTCTAGAATACACAGAAGCAGTACAAAATCTCTATCTTTAGCATAATAAAGAAAAAAAGTCTCCAAATCTCCAACTTTCTGACGATGAAGAAGCAAGACGCCCGACTTTAGCAGAATAATGAGATACAACACCAGAACTCACCCGAGCAGTCAATGTGACGGCTTTACTCCACTGATGTCTTTGATTTTCATAACTGTAGAATATGTTTTTGAAATGATCCAAATCGATCATGTCTCTGATGTATAATACGAACGGTGGAGACATTTTAACTCCAGGATTCATAAACTACTGGAACTCACAAAGCCATCAAAGAGACTGCTCCCATTCAAACCCATGGAATTCAGAGTAAAAGCTATTTTTGTTTTTCCCCAGTATAATTGAAAGTAGGTAATTTAAAACAAAAACTTTTAGTCACTTTGAATGAGTGTTAAAACTGGTGAATATAACTTGAAATACAGAAATAAACTGTTTAAAGGTGTAATGGGCCTGTTCAGGACCAATCCAAGACCAATCCAGGACCAGCAGTGCCATAAACAGTGGGTTATCAAGCGACCAAAAGAGCTCAAAGAAAGTTAAAAGTAGAACTATTCACATTTCACAAATAAAACTTATTTAACAAAGATAATGTCAGAAATAAATGCTCTTTAGGGATAGAAAGACAGTCACAAAAATGTACAAACGAGTAATTAGTTTAAAGCCGTCAAGTTGATTAAAAAAATTAGTCTTTTTTGTTTGTTTCTGATGTTTTTGTGAAAGACTAAAAGAACTGATGTGGTGTCGTTTGTTGCAGGAAACATCGGAGACTGGAAGAACGTCCTGACGCCGGCTCAGAGCGACCGAGTGGATCAGCTGATCAAGGAGAAACTGGGAGACCTCGACATCACCTTTACCTTCGAATAAAAGAACCTTTACTCAAACCACAGATTTTAACTATTGTCAAAGTGAATAATATAATAAAAACAAACACAATGAAGTGAGTTTGTTGGGTTGAGTTCCAATAAAAGATTTTTCTTCCGCCCCCACAATTTTAAACTATGGGCCTTTAGTGTTTTTGTCAAAGATTGTAGCTGCAACTTTTACCGCTATAAATAGTTCTATACATTTTTTGTACAGTACTGTACTGTTTCAAAGGACTGGAGTTGTTGATGTACCAACTGATCAGAGAATCAAACAGTTTGGACTAAGGAAAAGCCAAAACAAACACAGGTCTACAGGGATCACCAATGTTCATAAATATTAATAAATGTCCTTAAAACTCCCAGGTCATCACAAAAAGAAAATTGCGAGACACCTCTGGGAGAACACTTTACTTTCTGCAATTTGAGGACTGAGGATTAGGAAATGCAACACTGGAGCAGAGGATGAGGTCAACATAGTTATAGTATATACAGTATATGAGGGACAGGTCCATTCAAACTAAGGGGGAAAATTCCCTTGAAGAAAAGAAAAAAATATGAAAATAAGTAAAATACAGCTTAAAATAAGAAAAAATATCTGCCAATAAAACAAAACAATGTGACAATTTCTGAAAAATAATACTATAGCCCCAAATTACTTAATTCTAGTATAAAAAGTATCATTTACTTATTTAACTTATTAACATTTGAGAAATCTTTACCTATAATATAGCATCATATACTTATTTTATCTTAACATTAAAGTGGTAAGAAAAAAGAAAACTTGCCAGTGTTTCCCACACATAGACTAATCTGTGGCGCACCGCCACAGATTAGAGACCGCCCGCCACAAATTGCGTTTCGTATTATTATATATATATTTTTTTTGTTACGCTATTTAAAACATGCATCGTCTAGTGCCGCCGCAGCGGTCAATTTGACAGCGGGGAGGGGGGTTTAAAATGTGGCGGCCCTTCGTAACTCTCACTCAAGCTACGCGTCTCTCCCACATACAGAGACCTACACACACACAGCCCCTCCCCTTCGTGCACACCGCGTGTCTCCGTCTCCATCAGCGATCTTCGCTGTAAGCAGCTGTGTCTATTAATTTTGGTGCAGAGAGAAGACGGCTGGTGAAGTTCACTAAAGGTTGGTATCCCGTGATCTCGTAAATCACACATTAAAAAGTGCTGAATGTTCAGTGTCAATGTTGAATTTCCGTCCCGACTCCCTTAACAAGCGATGACGCTTTCTTTATAAAGTTAATTAGTCGCAAGTTTGCGGTATGTAGTTGGGTTGTCGGGGTCAAAACACTATGTAGCAGCTGTAGCAAGAAATAAAGTTATAAGTAACGTTATGTCATTTTTTTACTCTTACACTGAATGTTTGCTGCTTCAATCCAGATGAGTATTGAACAATATTTTCCGCGATTGAAAAAGACACGCGTTGAGGATGAGGATCAGCCTGAACCAGAGATATCGGTCTGAAACAGTCCGCAGTGTAATTAGCTATATAAGTTTACAATATTTTCAGGCTTCAACCAGTGCTGCTCAAGCAGAAAGACAGGGTCAGGGAGAGAACGAGTGGGAAACCTGTGGGAAACACTGCTTGCTATTAAAAATAAGCTTCTGACCAAGAATTTACTTTTCCACCTATAGCACTTCTGTGTTACCATGGCAATGCAGTCTCAGTATATTAGAGAAATAAAAACAAAACAACTTTTGGCCAACATCTCATCTTTATTTATGCCAAAAAATATTAAATTGTGACAAGTCTCTTATTTGGTCACCAGAGTATTCAGATGTTTTCTTCATCTGAAAAAAATAAAAGTATAGAGATGTCATACATTTCAGGGATTCCTGATGCTACCATCCAAAACAAGGCATACTGAAATTTAACGTTACTCAAGCTTATTTCTACGTAACCAGCGCCCTCTAGTGGCTTTCATAGTGTTCGTAATTAAAACGTGTGAAACTGGATGAATACAGAGAAACAAACTGTCGACATACTGAATGAATAAAAGCAGATTTTAGTTTTTAGCACAAACCCGATGTTTGATAGCTATTTATTTTGAGATCTCACAGTTTGAAGAGAGCGTAGACATTTATTGATTCATTTATCATTTTTTGACTGTTTTGCTCCTCCATAGACATCTGCAGGTCTAATATCAAAATGGAAATGCTGTGGTCGTACTTTGACTTCCACTTAGACTTGAATCACTTTGTTGTTATTTCACTTAGTGTCTGGAGTGGATCATATCATACAAATGTTAGTAAAGTTCAAACAAACCCTGACCTTCTTCTTCCTCGTCTTCCTCATCCTCCTCTTCCTCCTCTTCTTCGTCAGAGCTGAAAGTTCCGTCGGGAAGGCTGTAGACCCGGATCACTTGCTGAAATCACACAGAGGCAAACGTTCAGCCCAAAGAGTCAGAGACGTTTCAGAGGAAACTGGACGAGCCGAGAATGCTGTCGTCTCGTTTTCGGGGTTTCCTGGAAATGTGTTGGTTTGGGACAAAACTCAAGGAGCAAAGAAACACCTATTATGGGGGTGTCCAGTGGCTGGGGAGGGTAAAGGGGCAGTGGCTGGGCGGTAAGGGACAGTGGCTGGGGGGTAAGGGACAGTGGCTGGGGGGTAAGGGACAGTGGCTGGGGGGTAAGGGACAGTGGCTGGGCGGTAAGGGGCAGTGGCTGGGGGGTAAGGGGCAGTGGCTGGGGGGTAAGGGGCAGTGGCTGGGGGGTAAGGGGCAGTGGCTGGGGGGTAAGGGGCAGTGGCTGGGGGGTAAGGGACAGTGGCTGGGGGGTAAGGGACAGTGGCTGGGGGGTAAGGGACAGTGGCTGGGGGGTAAGGGACAGTGGCTGGGGGGTAAGGGGCAGTGGCTGGGGGGTAAGGGACAGTGGCTGGGGGGTAAGGGGCAGTGGCTGGGGGGTAAGGGACAGTGGCTGGGGGGTAAGGGACAGTGGCTGGGGGGTAAGGGACAGTGGCTGGGGGGTAAGGGACAGTGGCTGGGGGGTAAGGGACAGTGGCTGGGGGGTAAGGGACAGTGGCTGGGCGGTAAGGGGCAGTGGCTGGGGGGTAAGGGGCAGTGGCTGGGGGGTAAGGGACAGTGGCTGGGCGGTAAGGGGCAGTGGCTGGGGGGTAAGGGGCAGTGGCTGGGGGGTAAGGGACAGTGGCTGGGGGGTAAGGGGCAGTGGCTGGGGGGTAAGGGGCAGTGGCTGGGGGGTAAGGGACAGTGGCTGGGCGGTAAGGGACAGTGGCTGGGCGGTAAGGGACAGTGGCTGGGCGGTAAGGGACAGTGGCTGGGCGGTAAGGGACAGTGGCTGGGCGGTAAGGGACAGTGGCTGGGGGGTAAGGGACAGTGGCTGGGGGGTAAGGGACAGTGGCTGGGCGGTAAGGGACAGTGGCTGGGCGGTAAGGGGGCAGTGATTGCAGTAGTGGGGGGGGGGGGGGGGGGTCACTCACCTTGTTGGGGTCCTTGAGGATGAGGTATTTGCCCTCGTCCAGTTTGCGGCAGATGTCGATGACGCAGCGCAGGATGCCCCAGGCGTTCTCCATGCTCAGGTTGATCTGGCTGGCGAACTCGTTGGGCTTGAACTGCTGCGTGCCCAGGATCACGTGACGCGCTGAATCTTTGGCGTGGTAACGGGACACGTACCTGCAACACGGACCATCAACGTTAGATTTTATACTGTTTTATGGCTTTTTTTTCGGACAACAAGCTGCTACTTTTTTGTACTTCTTAAGGGGCGTTCACACCGGACTTAACTTCGGCGTCAAAAGCGTCAGGTTTGCATTGAAAGTGAATGGTGAAGCGCGTCAGGTGAAGCCGAGGGGCCTGGCGTCACTTGGCGCGCGTCAAAAGCTTCAAAAGTTGCGCGTAACTTGAAGCTTTTGACGCGCGAAACGCTCGCGTATCACAACAATCCCTTTGACGCTGAAGTTGAGCAAAGCTGAGCTTTTGAAGCTTTGACGCGGGCTTCAACCAATCAGGAGAGAGAGGAGAGGCGAGCGAGAGGTGGGGAGAGGCGAGAGCGAGGCGGGGAGAGGCGAGAGCGAGCCGGGGAGAGGCGAGCTCCGGGGTTTGAGAACTCAGACTGGGCGAGTGACATGTGGAAGTACCGCTGAAAGCGAGACTCCTCCGTACGCAGCTCCTGGAGTAAATGACGGAACTCTGCAAACACTGCAGCCTCTCAAGTCTGTGGTGAACCCAGAACATGTTTTGTTGAAGCCCTACAACAACGTTATTTTGCTTTATATAATAAATAAAGGCTCGCTGCTCATTGAAAAATCCACCGCTGTCCTGACTACAGGCAACAGAGAAGCTCCTCCCACCGGCGTCAGGCGCGTCACTCGCGTCAAAAGCTTTAAGCACCAAAATGACAAAACTATCCCGGCGTCAGTTGAAGCGCGTCAAAAGCTTTTTGAAGCTTTTGGTCTGAACGCGCCTTTAGACGCCTGTGGCTTTTATAGCGATGTGGCCAATGTAGAGCTGGGCTGTTGTCAGAGCTTTATGGAGATTTAGTGGTTATAGGACACTGGTTTAAAAATGTTCAGTTTGAAACTTTTTTTAAATCTATTTCACCTCATTGATGTCTCAATGTTTTTTTCATGCTTCCTTACAGCACAAAAACAAAAATGTACTTTAGAAAAAAAAGTGGTGTGGTTTATAGACAGGTACGTCTGATATAAAGCCCAAAAAGTATGGGATTCAGAGGATAAATGTGAAAAAAATACTATATAATTGAATAATAACATTCAGTCTCATCTTTATAGTTGCTTTTCAAACAGAGGGTAGAGCAGATGCCAAAGTAGGAGTGGGCGATATGGCCTAAAATGTATATTGCGGTATAATTTGGGACACAGACGGTATATATTGCGGTATAATTTGGTGTGTGAATTTCATAGGTCTAGCAGGTTCTTAAATGCAATAGTCAAGATAGTTACTTATTTAAATGTATTGTGCAAAACTGCAACTATACAGGACATTATAAAACTTCCAAGCAGCATTGCTGGGTTTCAACCACGTGACCAAAAGGGGGTGGGACATGGGTCCGTAGGACAGGAAGTATTTTTCTCCTATTAAATAGAATGGGCAATGCTGGAAAATACAGACATAGGAGCTTTTCGCGCCTTAGTATCACTCTTATTATATGAGTGAAAAATATTTTAATGCAGCGTAAGCTTTGTAGTGTTTGAATGAGTCAATTTTTTTAAACAATGAGAAAGATTAAGGCTGTTATAGTGAACAGGGATCAACAGATACACGTCTGAGATGATAGTTCTGATCAATAACACAATAAATATGGCACAAATGTTACTTTAGACAGCATTTGAAGCGAGAAATCTGATCCTTTATTGTCTTTTCAGTGATTTGTTGAGCTGTAAATAACCAAAAGTGCGGAGCTCCAGGGGAAGCTCCGCTATTAGCTTAGCTCCGTAGCGTTAAGCTAATAGCGTTAAGTTAACAGCAGTGAGTGAGCTAACAGCGGGGGCTGCAATTAGAAAATGTATTTAACAACTCTTTCTTTTTGTTGCCTCGCCTACTACAACCGTATACCACACAAAAATACTGCATTGTATCTAGGGCTGCAACTAACGATTATTTAGATAATCGATTAATCAGGCGATTATTTTTACGATTAATCGATTAATCGGTTTATGTACTTATATTTTAGTTTTGCCAATTTTTTTCCAAGTAAATTGTTAACAAAGGGCCTTCATCATTCAACATAGACTTTTTAGAGATTTTAACCATTTTACATATTCATATCCACATCAAAAACTTAACTGGAGCTGTTTATTATGTCTTTGTAATCCTTTAGTGAACTCAATGTTGACCATCAAAACAAAACACTGACCGTTACATACTCTAGCAAATTTCACAAGGAGATTTCCAATAATGTTTTCACCATGAAAATCCTTAGGGCTTCTGAAGTAGTTTAAAATCCCGAACAAGGCTTATTTAAGTTGATAAACTGATAAATGTTTTTTTTTTTTTACATCTTTGTGCAAATTATTTGAAAGATCAACTTTATGCCTAAAACAGTGAGTGTGGCGCCATCTTTTGCAAACAGTCAGTACTGCAGAGAGATGGTTTAAGGTGCTCACGCAGAGACGTAGTACTCCCGTGCCAGGCCAAGTCAGTAGCGCAGAGTTTACAGGTTACTCTTCTTTTTTGAAGGTTCAAAGTAAAGTGCTCCCACACTTTGGATGACTTCGTTCGATTAGGTTTGTCTTCTGCTTTTTTCCTTTTTTTTCTCGAGCTTACTCCGCTTGCCTCCGCCATCTTGCTGTATGCTGAAGAGAAGCTGTGCGCGAAGCATGTGACATAAAAGGAGGCCAGCTATTGGCTATTCGCTACTTCTCCTGCTGTAAAACCTCCGGTGGCTCATTACTGCCACCATTTGGTCACCGCAGAGTTAAAATATGCACGAAATGAGCCGCTTACGGCAAAATAAAAGTTATTTAGCAACTAATCGATGACTAAATTAGTTGACAACTATTTTAATAATCGATTTTAATCGATTAAATCGATTAGTTGTTTCAGCTCTAATTGTATCTATGAAAGTAAGCGAAGTAAAGACTGCGGACTGTCAGCTGTGTCTGCGGCTGCAGACGCTACGCAAGCTGATGCTAATGCTAGCGCATTTCTCCCGTTGCTTATTAGGCATTTTCCTAAAAATTGACACCCGTTAGAGAAATATTTTTTAGCAAAGTAGAGACTCCATAGGTTCCCCACTTGATATGAGCAGTTGCCACAACTGTACAGCAATTTGATGACATAATGACCTATGCCGGTATAACAAAAATCTCTACTGTTGGCCAAATTTATATTGCATACCACTTATACCGTTTATATCGCCCAGCCCTATGCCAAAGCATCAAACACAAAACAACTGGGTCTAAATTTAAGATCACAGAGTATTAAAATCCAGTCCAGAGATACAGTAGAAGTCGCTCACCCCAGTTTGAGATACTCGGACCCGGCTAGCATAGCGCAGCAGGTCCAGCGCGCCAGTTTGTAGCTGTTGTTCTTCAACTCCGTGGCCAGAACGGCTCCTCGCTGAGAGTCCAGCTTTTGACGCCAGTCCACTCCGTTACAGTGCTGCGCAGAGAAGGTCAGGCATCGTTAGTCATCGCTTTGGCATTGAACACATGACCGTGAGAATTTACTGCAGCGTTTCATGTCTAAGAATGGGAATTATTGCTTATAAAGCTTTGGAACCCAACTGTCGAACCATGTGATAAAATCCTTCTATTAGTTTCCCTCTCTCTGGTTTTCATGTTTGTACTTTTGGCCTCTCAGCTCTCAACCCAAAGTGTCAGATAATGACTCATAGGGCTCTTTCTAGTAATTAAACACATTATGTACAAAGGTATCTCCATAACATAAGTATTTCTGTATTTGTTTAGATCAGGTGTCTCGATAATTTCCCCTGAGAGCTACTGTTTGGAACAACACTGGCAGAGAGCTATTCCTTTGCTGCGCTCGAATGGATACAAGTAGTTTTTTATTTTGACGAGAAAACAATTTGGCATTCTTAACACAACGGAAAAACCAGTTTGTCTCATTTCCAGCCAAGATAAAGTAAATCTTGTATTAATGTCAACATATTCTCCATTCAATGTAACCAAATTTGGGCAATTTAAGTTTTTTTGGGGCATTTTTTGTTGTACGTTATACCTGTGGCACTGCATGTTGTACTTGGCTTATTATCTTTGGTTTTTTACTCAGAAATGAGCTCTAGATTCCTGACAAAGCACATTTTGATCACGTTTCCCTTCTTTTCTTTTCTTTTTTGTTTTTATGGTTTTTAGTGTAAATGTGATTTTTTATGAATATGTTTGTGTAGATGCAAAGTCCCTCTCTTTTTAACTGCAAATGACTCCATCCCTGGGTACAAATAACGTCACCGTGAACCTTAAACCCATAAAAGAATCTAACATAATCATTTTTAAATCTACTCATTCCCAACTAGAGGGTGACGTGCTATAGGTTTAGAGACCCGTGGTTTTGACTATGACCTTGCGGCCGCTGGGGTCCTGCTCTCACCCGGGAGTCCCACTCGTTCAGGGTCTTGACGTTGATGAAGGACACCTCTCCGTTGGCGCCGGTCATTACGCCGTCGTGTTCGCAGCGAACGATCAGGTCGATGTCCTCCCCCAGCTTCCAGTGGCGGTACCTGAGAGCGAGCAGGAGACACACACATTCATATTTCAGCACTTTTGCTTGTTGTTGGAGCTCCTTGTGGGAAGCTGCAGATTCTCAAACCAGCATTTTTTTTTCACACTTGTGTCTGGGAAGTACAACAGGTCGTTTCAAATATATCCGACAGGGACGAGAGGAAAGGAGTATCTCACCAGCACTAAAATAATAAGCCAAATTTCCTTTTCTTCTCTTTTTTTAATTTCTATAAGGAAAGTTTATATGTATAGCACAATTCATACAAGATAAAGAGCTGGACAAACCAAGATACATGGCTGTGGATATTTGAACCCACAGAGCTAATGGCTCACTATCCAAATCTTTAAATGTGCTATATAAATAAATAAACTTGACCTTTATCTATAGATTTAAACATACAAGTATATATTTCTTGCACTCGAGAAGACTTTATTTTATTCAAACTTTTCTTCTCTATGCTTTAATATACACTTGTGTTGTGTTTGTGTGGAACTCATTCCTACTGTTCTGTAACTTGTGATGCAACACTGAACTTTCCCCGCTGTGGGACCAATAAAGGATCTCTTCATCTGTTTCTACTTACTACACTAGTATACTTTTCCCTTTTCTGTCTGAGGAGCTGCTCTGGAGATGTGCCGAGAGCATAGAACTGGAGCAATCGTCTTCACTGCACGGTTCATTTGCTGTGGTTTGAAAGTTCCAGCTTTAAGGAATAGGTTCTGTGATGTTTGGTTTCCCGCATTTTAATGGGCCCTTAAAGGACAACTCACCCTCAAATCCACTTTTTTTTGCTGATAAACTGTATAAATGAGTGTCCAATAGTGTTGTCTACATATCCTGGTCATAATCTTGTCACTTTGGTGCAAATTAGTTGAAAGTTAAACTTTCTGCCTAAAACCGTCTGAGGCGCCATCTGCTGGCGACCTGTATTACTACATTTGAATTTTGAATCTGGCGCCAACACTGGCGCGGCAGCAAGACCTGACGTCTGAAGCAAAACCTGACGTCTGAAGCAAGACCTGACGTCAGCAGCCCCCCGCCCAGAGCAATGTAAACGGCCCAGTCTCGTTCACGCCCCCTTTAGTCCTCCAGGCCAGGGGTTCCCAAAGTTTTTAGCCCGCGACCCCCATCATAAATGCCCTGCTAACCCGCGACCCCCCCCCAACAGCCCTTTCGTCACATGAAATGAGCATGTATTTCCTTGATACGGAGTAACGCTTTCTAGAGACTCACGCCACTACCGAGCTGCACTGTCCAGCCCAAAAAAGGAGGCTTGCATATTTTTACTCAAGTAGTGACACAGTGATGGGCTTGGTGGGCTCCCTCCTCAGCAGAAGTGGAGCGCATTTCTTGCGGCTCGCCCTCACTGTTCTACCGCGGTAAAGTGGACCGGCTTTCCGGAGTCAGCGGTAAAGAGGTCCGCACATTAAAAGCGGGCGGCCGCTTTCTGCTGTTACTTTATGCGGTTCATCCCCGCGGCTTCTCTTTCCAAAGTTACTGTCAGTAAAGGCATACAACTGCCGCCCGCTTTTAATGTGCGGACCACTTTACCTTTGACTCCGAAAAGCCGGGCCTCTTTAACGCGCTGTTCTACCGCTGTCCTCCCTTCCTCCGCTGCCCTCTCTCCCTCTCTTCGCACCATCAGCCTGACCCCTGATACAAGTGACTTTTCTCCCCCTCCGGGTTTTTCTGTTGTGGATATTAACCACGTTTCATTTTAAAGCAGGTATTATTTATTTGTAGCCTCCAAACACCTTTAGTTTTAGCAAACAACAGCAGGACATAACGCTTTGTCGCTGCGCATGATGTGAGCTGTGTTACGTGATGATTTTGATTGACGCTGCAATGACTGGGACAAAATTACTAACGTTATTAAAATATATTATAGTCTCCAAACACAATTTAACAAGTAGTCCTTTTGAATCAAATCAAATGCTAAATAAATATTTAAGGGCTTTATATTTGCTCAAAAAAAAAAAAAAAAACTTTTTTTTTTGTTTGTGTGGAAATCATCTTGCGACCCCCCCAGGGGTTCCAGCGACCCCCCGGGGGGTCGGGACCCCCACTTTGGGAACCACTGCTCCAGGCTACGCCCATTTAGAAGAAGATTTGAACAGGAAATGTGAGTGACGTAAGCTCCGAGGAGCGGGGGTGAGAACCACTTTAACGTAAAAGTTCATTTCACTTTAGTTTTTTTTAGCCCTGAATCACAACAGCAGTTATCTCGGAGGACTTTACAGAGCTGCCAATTCGCCAACGCAGATCAGAGAATCAAAAGTTCAAACACAGGAAATGCAATGATAAAAAAACCACATTGAGTCACTGGCAGATGACCAATGTCCATAAAAAGAGTTTAGTTTAGTCACCTGTACGCAACAGAGGCCACCTCACTCTTGTCCATATCCTCCTCCACAAAAGGATTGGGGTTTGGGAACTTGTGGCGTTCTCCTCCCTGTAGAAACAAAGCAGAAAACATGAGATGACTTTGAATAGCGTTGGTTGGAGAATATTTGGGCTCGGCTCCTGACCATGCGCAGACACTGCTGGCTGAAGTTGTGGTTGATGTAGGTCGCCTCCATGGCCAGGTTTCTGGGAGAGTTGAAGGAGTTTCCCTCGTCCTGCGGAGGCTCGTTGGCGGTTTCGCTCACAGTCAGTAAATCTATTTAAAGAAAATTATTTGTAGACATTACACTCAATGATGAAATCCAAGTGCCTTCAGGCAAGTTTTTCCTGGTCATTTGATTCTTGGTCATAAAAACACAGAAGTGTGTGGACTCGCCTCTGTTATAATATTGCTTTTGCTAATTGAGATTTTAATGTACTAAATTAATAATAACGAGCTATGTGCGTCAGCGATGTGTGCTAGTTTTTAACGTGCTTCAAACGTGGCTTGGACCATAGTGGGTTTAGCGCTAGTGAATAACTTTTTTTTTAGAGACGCTGTAGTTCCATAATACAAGGTTATTAATTATAATAAGGATGAGGGTCAGTGCTGCGAGGGCCAGCAGACACTAATGAAAAGGGATTAAGATGTAAAAGGCCAGAGTCTCAACGAGGACTGAGCCAATACGATGACGGTCTGTACCTTGAGTATGTCAATAATATATTTGTTATGATATAGACAATAACTGATGTGTTTTGTTAGTTACATTAATCATTAATTCACCCACTCACAGGCCTGAGGAGAACAGATCGTGTATTGTGTACAAATCTGTGATAAAAGGTTTAAATTGAGTAGCCTTTTTTGACAAGTTGAATCCTTATATTTCTTTCTTCCGCAGTAACAACCTATAAATCAGACTTTATATAGATGGACAACTCGATGCTCATTGAGGCGCAATAGGGAAGTGCCCATTGGACAAAGTTATGCTCCAACTCGCTCTGGCTTCTTTTGACTGACATTGAAAATTAAACTGCTCTAGCTCAGTAACCGTTCGAGTCACGCTTTTAAAAAAAATGGTCTTAGCCCCCTCTTGGATCCAAGGGTTTATATTGTCTCTATAAATCCGGATATGAGCCACAATAACTGACCAATCAGGACACTTTCGTCTCTGAATTCAGCTTAAGAATGAGTGAGCGAGCACAGGTGGGGATAGACCGGCTCAGTTGCTTGATCCTGGTTTCTACCAACAAAACATCTATACTTTTGGCTCCACGTTCTTGCTCAAATAACCTGTTCAAGCGAGCTCTAATCGGCCTCTTTCATGGTGATGTGAGTACTCGGTTAAACCCACTCCTAAATATATATAGTCCACGCTAGAAATCTAAGAATAAAACAAGAGACTAATCTCACCAAAGTCGGAGTTGTCCCTCTTGTCGAAGAACAGCTTGTTTCCGACTCGCTGCACGATGATGTCCCAGGAGTTTACGGAGCGCGTGCAGCACATCAGAGTGGCCAAGATGGCGTCAGTGGCAAACACGTTTCCCTGAGTCTTTGCCAGCTGCAAAACACACAAATACATTATTTACACACGAGACAGGCTTCCACTCTGACAATGTTCAGGATAAAAACAGTTATGCTTCAGTTGTGCATACAACTGAAGGATTGAATCTCCACTTCTTATTCATGATTTTAATGTTTCTTTTCAGGTTTTGCTTTTTTACTTTGAGTTGCCTTGTATGAACTGAGCTATACAGAAAATCATGCCTTTGATTCTTTGTGATTCTTTCCAATTTATTTTCACTGAAGCAGAGGGTGAATGTTTCTGACATTGAGAACAACTTATTCTGATTTTTGTATATTCATTAAAAACTTAACAAAAGAACTCTTTTCCTCAAATTGCGTTGCCAAACTCACACCCAAGCAAGGACACATGGATGAAAAGGTACAAAGTAGACTTTTTAAAAATATGGTTTCGTTATTTGTAATCTCCCCAAGTTGACACTTAGATTATTGGCACAGCTCATATACTGTACAGAATATCACAAAGGGGTGGTTTTGTGTGTTTCTTTAATTAAAGTGTGTTGTGTTTGAGGCTGAAGCAGCTCATTCAAAGAGACAGCAGACCCACGAGGATCCACTCTGACACAGACTTTGTTTATCAATAATGAAAAAGTGAAGAAAGAGGTCTGGTCCTCGGATGTGCTTTTAATTTCTCACGAGAATCACTTCTATTTAAAACATTTCCAATTGTACTTTATCCTGTATAGCCTACATTATTACAGCAGGTTTGTTCGCATTATCATATCCAGTTTCTTCTCACGTGTTAAAGCGATTCATTAAAAAGGATATGAATATTATAATCAATATAAACAAGATGGAGCCAAGAATGGCTAAATGTCACTTAACAAACTGGCAACTCAAATGACAAACCTGAAGACTTAAAGCTGCACTAGCTGACTTTATTTTGGTATTCATTACGAAAATGCTATCCATGTCCATGCAGTGCATTGGGATATACGTCCTTTTGAAGAAAAAGTAGCGCAGGTTTGGGCTGGCGTGACATTATATTTTAGATTAAGTTTTGATGAAACAAGGAAGAGAATGTGTTTCGGGTCGCAGATTGTGACCAATCACAGCGGACCACTGGCCCCCACTTTCGTGAGAAATCTACAGGTCCGTTAGCACAGACAGCTGAGTTAGCACAACAAGCAGCGGAGCTAACCTGAAACTTTCTCGTTTTCGTCACCGGTTACTGCTTACACAGCGAAACAGCCATCCAAAAGAAAGTCCCGTTCCTCCGCGCTTCCCGGTTCTATCGTTCTATGGTCACGCCATCCATGTGCAAATCTATGTCCATGTATTATCCATATTGGGAGACGCTAGCTCCGTCAACAACAGTGGGTGTGTGTGGGGGGCAATAGCTTCGTGGGTGCGGGGAGGGGAGCAGAAAGAGCGAGGCCAGCGAGTTCGCGGCTTCAAAATCCCAAAGTCAGTTAGTGCAGCTTTAAGGAAATAGGTGGAGTCTGGTGTGCTCCTGCTTGGTTGGAATGAAAACCTGCGGTCACACTGGCTCTTTCTGGACCTAGTCTGAGACCTCTGCCTTGGTCTAAGCCATGTTGAAATGGAGGCTTTTTTATCTTAATAGTTTTTCCTTGGCGTTTTTGTCTGTTTTGTCCAGTCATGGCTCATCTACCCATCACTGGTATCCACTACAAACGCTAAATTAACAAACTCAAACATGTCAAAGCCAAAAAGACTGATTTAAACTGTTACAAAATGAGTGCTGAAGGACGTTTGAGGACCTTGCGGATGACGGGGTCGTCGGTGGTGGTGACCGTGTGGAAAATCCTCTTGATGCTTTTGAGCTGCTTTTCATTTCGGGTGGTGATGCGGTCGAAGGCCTTGTCGTAGTACTCCACGGCTCCACAGCACTCACTGAGAAGACACACGCAACACAATGAATACACTTTTTATTGAACTCTTAAATCTGGGGTACCTAACTTCTGTGGTTCATTCGTAATTGTGTTTTCAATTTGTGTTCAGATTCACTTTATGTTGCCATTCGCAGCAAAACCCCATTGGAATACATGTGCAAAAATACGCCAGAAAAACTGCTCTCAGTGTGACATATTGTTATTAAAAAAGGGGCGGAGTTGTCCTGGATGGTTCAACAAACTCCTCCATTGCAAATAATGTCTTTCCCTTTAACCTCTTAAAACCCGCCTCATTTTGGCTTGTGCACAAAAGTTGGGCATACCCAAATGTCTTTGCTTATTTAAAAACACATCTTACATCTCACATGCTTGTGTGATGCATCATTTTAAAGCTAGAGCCTTCTAGTTTATGTAAAAAAACACTAAAATAATGTTTGTCATTCCTATTTTTGGGAAAAAACCCAATTTTTTTAGCCTCGCCTAACATTTTCAATTTCTAAAGGCCCTAAAAAAGATATACTTCATTGTAAGTTCACAATATTCAAATCCTCTGTTCATTGTGTTGTTGACAACAACTGTCTAAAGTTTCAGACTTCTAAGTTTTATAGTTTTTATGCAGTTTCTCCTTTTCACAAGTAGTGCACAATTGTGCCAAATTGTGCCAAATATCTTTACTTACATTTAATCATCATAAAAACAATATTTTTTTATTATTGGTACTTATAAGTTACTAATCCATGTGTGTTTTTTTTAAATGTCAAAGTTATTTTTTTATGAGTGTAAATTCATTGCAGCTTCGAGAGCGTCTTTTGGCTGCCATTATGCACAATTCTACAGGCACAACATAAGACAGGACACCATTGTCCCACCCCTTGTTCGAAAGCTTTCCTCATTGGCTACAAGCACATGTCAATCCAAAATCCCGGAAGTAAAAGCAAACAAGTTGGGACCACAACAAAGATCAGTGATCCATGCGCACACAGCAGCGCTAGCTGTACTTACGGGAGCTCTTGCAGACCCGAAAATTGGTCTAGCTTTTCGGGAGTAGTCTCATTTGAAAGATAAGGAGCTAAGGAACACGTAGATACCAGATGTTTGGGTGAAAAACAAAGCTAAAAGTCCGTTAAAAGTGAAAGAGTAACATCTGTGCTCTTTTTTTTCGCTAAAGATAAATGCAAATTTTTGGATTATTTCTGCAGAATGGATTTTACTTTGGGACATACAAGTGGATATAATTTTCCTTTGGACTGTTCCAGAGAGAATGATGTATTGCAAGCTGGGAGGAGAGCTGATTTATTTGTACAGCACAAGCCCAAAGGTAAAAAACTATTTCGGAATTGATTTATTTTGTGCCCACATTATGTGTTATATCTTTTGAATGCAATATACAGTTTACACTTGTATATAAATGTAGATAAGAAAATAAGCTTTAAAATGATATACAGCTTTTGGGGTTTGGTGTTCAAAATACATCTGCTATTGCCAGCAGAACATTTAAAAACATAAAAACGGCGCGCCGGCGTTAGTTAAGAGGTTAACAAGCAAGTGAACAAACATGAAAAGGTTATTTGATTCATGCAAATGTATTTCTTCGGGGAAAGTAATATGTATTCATAATCGCTGTAGCTGCCACCACTTATCTCTAATATCAGCCCAAATAAATAAGACGTGTGAAAACTAGTGACGAACCAAACTGTTCTGAGGCAGAAAGCTGAGATTGATGGTTTTAAATAAGCCGTTACCTTTTACTGTTATTTCTTCACCTGTAAAATTAGGGTTATTGCCGTGTGCCTTGGAGAATAGTCATTAGCCACAACAGCAGTTCAGTGATCCGTGTGTCACAGAAAGGTTTAATTTGAGGGCTTTTTGATGGATGACTTTAATATAATCCTGATCATTTTGTTCACCCCAGTATGAAATATTGTATGAATCCAAACCTTTACCACATCCACTTGCATATACAGTAGTTCCTCGCTATATTTGCTATGGTCAATTTTGTATGCTTTTTTTTATGTCCCCCTCCCTCTGGTCCCCCGCTCTGGTCCCCCGCTCTGGTCCCCCGCTCTGGTCCCTGGTCTCTCGCTCTTCAGCAGTCATGAGTTCAGGTGGATAGAAAAGTGTATCTAGTGTGTGTGAGGAGTTTTACACCCATAAAACATGCAGCTGATACTTTAGCTCATTGTGGGTTATTTTTAGAACGTAACCACGGCGATAAACGAGAGACCACTGTATTAACAATTGAGTTTCCACGAGCACAAGACACTCACATGTCCGTAGGGTCAGCCACCTCCATGTATCGCATCTTCATGAGTCGGGGGAAGTCCATCTCCTCTTTGACCTCCCAGTCGCTCCGCACCTCCACAGAAGAGTCCCGGGGCTTCAACTGCGCCACAACGGATCAAACTCCATTAGCTTCAACCACAGGCCGTCACAGTATATACTAATACTATGACGTCACATTTGAATAAAGGCTAGCTGGAGCCAATTTTGGTGCATGGGCATTTCTTTTGACTGCATTAAATTTATACAGTCTAAGCTTTCAACACCAAACTGTATAGTACGTTTCATTGAGGAATGGAAGATTATTTCTGTTATATTCTGTAAACTGTTTTGGATTGAGACCACAGCCAGTGTTTAATCTGAAGAAAATACTGAGAAGTTATAGTTAAATTGAATAGAATTGATTAATTTGATCAGGGATAATGCACATCAAATGAAAACGGTTGTACCAACTGTATGGCAACAGCAGTTCTGCGTTGTTAGCTATGCAAAGAGAAACAGCCACTCAAGGGCAGACAGAGAGTTGTATTTAAGTTCTAAAAGAATAAAGCAGTGCGTTTGCCACTTAACAGCCCCATAGAAAATATAAAGAGAGTCAAATAGAAGTCTCTGAGCAGGTATAATCAAGAGTGCACTGATGGAAGAGTCTAAATTTGTAGATATGAGATTATAATTCTCTGTGCTGGTGTACCAATGTAAAGCTAAGATTTGTAATTGAGAATGTTGTGCTAAAGTAAGAAGAGGGTCTCAGCCTAAAAAGCAGCACTGATTTCTCCAGCAGCACATTATAACAACATGCACTGATCAGCTTGCGCAGTGGGCTAGTCATCACCGACCCCAAAATACTTCTTTTAGAGCAGAGTTTGAAGGCTATTGTCAAGGAAGCACAATGATGAAATACAGGGTAGCAACTTTGGACTTGCAGTATAAGTAAAGTAATTAAAAGAATGATTAGAATTCTGCTTGTAGATCAAAGCAGCGTTTAGGTGAAGTGGAGCATTAAAGAACACACTGTTTTGGTGTAAAATGCTATAACACGTTAAAACATTTGTTGCCAGTATTTCCTCTGAAAGTAGAATGCACTTGGGCTGATGAGGTCTTGAAGTTGAGACCAAATAATCTGGCAACCCACTCATTCTGCCTTGATAAGATTAATAACTGGTATTAAAGAAACATTACGACAAAACATTCATCAGTATTATATTATTATTATATCAATGAGGAAAACCCATATGTGGTTTGTGCAAGTCGACTGGCGACAATGAAGAATACTTATATGAAAGTCATTTCTTTATGTAGCATCTTTCACACATTTTTTTTTCACAATGTTATAATACAAATTGTACATACACTGTATATTTACTGGTCTTAGCATTTGCAATAATAGTATTCCATATCAGTAGTTGGTCATAACCGGATTAAGGAGAAGTCGGATGAAGGATTGGGGTCAAATCAGGATTCTGCGAACTGCATATAATTTTGACAGTGCATGAAGTCAATAAGGAGATGGCCACATGAGACTTTCAGAGATGATAACTATTACACACACCTCCATAATTGAGATTGTGTTATCAAATTGTGCAGCGCCCCATCTGAGTTGAAGTCACTACATTTTAATTGTTTGGAAATGGTACTCACCTGGGATTTCTGGTCCCATTTCTGACGGACTCCAAACTGCTTCTGAAACTTCTTCTGCAGCCGCATGCGATCTCTGAAGACAAACAACATTACTTATGATTTCAACTTTCCAAATGGAAAATTGCATCAGTTTTATTTAAACGTTTGTTGTCAATATCGTGGTTGGTGGACTTGAGTTTTATCTGAACAAGACGATGATCGATTATGATCCTATTCACCGTAAAACTACAGATATGTGCTCACCTCTCCTTCTGCTTGGCGCTCTTCGGCAGCGTCTGCATGTTGAACTGGGTCAGGTTCCTACGATCTTTGTCTCGACGCAAGTTTCTCTGTGAAAAAAAGGATCTACAGTAAATTTCACAGCAGATACAGAGACAAGCATATTCAAAATAAATATGAAGCAATCACTTGTGAAACATCAGGACAAAGTAGTAACAAGTATAAGTAGCTTCTTCGCTTCTAAATCATGTATTTAGTATTGTACAAAGTTATCTAGATATGAAATAGCTAAAAACTACTTTGAGAATTACAAAATGGTTGAATCAAGGCAGGCAAGTCAAATGAAGACCTTTTCAATCGTTTATGGAACGAGTTTTGCATGATGCAATAGTTAATGCCACTCTCTCAAATGCAATGCCCTTTTCAAGTATTGACAAATCATAGCTTTTAAGACTTCAAATGGTGATAAATGTAACGCTGTCCCTTAACCAAAGTTAAGTTGGTTAATTGTATGAAATATGTTGTGCACCGTTCTAAACTGTTGTTCTTCTGTTCATGTATGTGCTCAGCTGTGTTTATGGAGTTATTCTCTTGGGTTTGTGTTGCTCTGAGAAACGAGACAGAAAAGACAGTGACCTGAGCGAATCTCATGCGGTTCCTCTGGTAGGCAGTCTTCTGGGTCTTTGCAGTGTCCACCAGCTGGAAGCTCGTCTCGTCTTCTTCATGGAAATACGCATACTGACTCCCGCCTCCAAACTGAGACGAATACTTATCTGAACAAAACAATGAAACAAAGGCTTAACAAGAGCTGGACTAATCAAATATTACGAGTTGTGAATTATTGCTATTATTATTCTATTCAGTTAAGACAAAAAAACTGATTTGTAGGATTTGCTCTACAATGTGGTTTTTTAAGAGAACTGTTGCAAAAATGTACAATACATTGGGTCTGTTAACCCTCAAATAATGTTTGGCTTTCCTCAAATGATTCAGATTCTTTTTGCATTTATTTTTTTTGTTTGAGGAATAAAACAGACAAAATGTCCATTCAATTACGAGGCAAACTTGTCGTTTTGGCAGTCCTAACTTTACCCTGATCTGTAATAATCCTCAAAAATGATCTGTGCTTCTGAGGTCTCTGAAAGCCGATGTAAGTTTCAAATTGCAAAAGTACAAACAGGTCTTACTTGTGTATCTCTTGTCCTGATATGTTGCTCCAGTCCAATCCGCCACCTGACCAACAGAAGACAGTTAACCCTTTAGGCGCCAGAGTTTTTTCAAGAAAATATACAATTTTGATTTCAAGATTTCAAAAGGCTATAACTTTAAAATGGTTTGAGATAAAGGCATACTGTAAATTAGAAATATCTTCAGTTTGAACCAAACTTCGGGATGGAAGTTGATTAGTCATCTAATTTGCATATTGTGACGTCATCAAGGTGGCGGCCATTTTGGAAAATGTTAATTATTGTATAAAGACTTCAAAAAGCTGTAGCTTGGGAGTTATTTGAGATCAGGGAATACTATAAACAGTCAATGTGAAATATCTTTAGTATGAAATGAATTTGGGATAGAAATAAATTCCCTGATCCAGATTATAGATAATGTTTTAGCACTGGTTCGCGGCCATATGGAATTGTATTATTTTCAAAGACCTTCAGTGATCAAGACAGCACTCTTTATAGTTTACAGTCATGAAATCTTGAGATTGGTTTCAATATTTCCCTTTCAGAGAAGTAGTGGGCTTACTATTTTTCTCAGTGGAAATGAGGCTCCAGGATTTACCGTTTAGAAACAGAGAGATGAAATGAATGGGCTCAGAACTTGTCAGATCGTCTCAACAACATACAACAGGCTCTTCAACACTTCTGATCCACTTTTGTGGATTATTTTCTCTCAAGAACTGCCTTCATCCTCATCATCGCTGCTGGTAAAGGCAGTGAACGCGATTAGCGATGTGTTTTTTTCCCGCGGCTCTCCCGCAACTTCTCCCGTGTTCCCCGTGGATGTCTACCCCCACTACTTTCTCCCACATGCCCGGTGTTATGATGCCCCTGTCCCCTCCACCACGGCCCCTGCTTGGCGTTCACAGAATGCTTCTACCGCGGCCACACGGAGGACAAGCAGCCGCTGTACTGGGGCTGATTGTGGACTATGGAGCGCGGTCTCCCCGTCACTAATAATGTCCGTGTCTGCTTCACTGGACACCTGCGTGTCTTCCTCCTCTATATCTGAGTGAGCCAGTACCAGACCAAGTACTTCTCTGGTACTGAAGACCTCGTGAGTAAAATAAAAAACACTCTTTGCCTCTGCTCTGCTCTGGCTCCTCTCAGCTCTACCGCTGCTGCTTCGCCTCCGCGCCGCAGGTGTTTTACGAACTCAATTTACTCAAAAACTTTCAATATAACCACACCCACAAATGTTGCTCATATTACAGGCACACATGTCCATTAACCCCTGGTGAAAAGTATTAACAAGATTCTGCACCACATTTTTACATACAGCCTGTTTAAGTGAGCAATGTTGCTTGTCGCAATATTGCGACTTTGGCGCTTAAAGGGTTAAGTTTATAGTTCATCTCCAGCACACAATGAAGAACTTCAGAAAAAAGAACAAAAAAGAGGTTGTAAGAACACTGGCGGTAAAAAAAAGAAAAATTTAACAGCGTATTGATTCCCTTCCACTCCTTCAAAGTCTGAATTTCCTGAGTTTACTTCCTTTGTTATTACAATAAATTCACATTTTTCTGAATTGTCTTTTATTTGGACATTATTTGTTCAACAGATGAACCCCTTGTACTGAAACAACAACTTTTCTTCTGTGTACTATTGGCATCAGTGTCTTAAATCTTAAAAGTTAGAAATGATTTGACCGATACATACCTTCCCCAGTCGGTCTCCTTTGCTGAAGGGCTGGTAGGGCATATCCTTGAACTTCTCTGGGACAGCACAGGGACCCCATCCAGACGGGTTGTCCTGAATGACAGGGGCATTGAACTTCGCCATGACCTGCAAAATGGACAATGGAAATGATCAAACATCACAAGAGGATAACTATGATGGTAAAAATGTATTAGGATACTGTTTGCTAAGGGCCTCAACCTAAAAACAGCACTACTCTCTTCATCAGGGCAATACAGAAGCATTCACTGATCAGTTTGCGCAGTGGGCTAGTCATCACAGACCCAAATCAATGTATAGTGAATTAAAAGTAAACTGGGAACATACTCAAACAATCTTAGAAATGGTAAATGTATAAGGTGTGCAATACTGCAACAAAGTGATTAAAAAGGGGACATTCAATTGTGTTTTAAGTAAGACTGGCTGCTACGTGCAATGACTGTACCCGTATTTGTTTATATATATTGCACAGACAACCCAACTAAAACCACCTTTGCCTATAATTATAAAAACACTTAAATCTGAGGTGGCCAACATTTCCCATAAATAACATTCCCAAGGCAAGGCAAGTTTATTTATATAGCACAATTCATACACAAGGCAATTCAAAGTGCTGAACAAAACAAGAAAGCATTAAAATCATAAATTATCACAGAACAATAAAAAGAAAGATAAAAATATAAAATCCCTCAGTTGTATGCACAGTTAAACAGAACTGTCTTTAACCTGGTTTTAAACATTGTCAGAGAGGAGGCCTGTCTCACATCTTCAGGAAGACTGTTCCAGATTTTAGCAGCATGAATCTGAAAAGCAGCCTCCCCATGTTTAGTTCTGACTCTGGGCACTAACAGGAGTCCAGTCCCTGTGCTCCTCAGAGTCCGGGCTGGTTCATATGGGACTAACATGTCACCAATATATTTTGGTGCGAGGCCATGGAGAGACTTGTAACAAGCAGAGCTGTTTTAAAGTCTATTCTCTGAGCCACAGGAAGCCAGTGCAGAGACCTGAGGACTGGACTAATGTGGTCGTACTTCCCATAGTCATTCCCATCCCCAAAAGTAAATTATCGTGAACATAACAACGTGCTGTTTATATTTTATTGTTTATCTTTTGCATTGTGATCCAGCATTATTGACACTCCTTTTATAATGTTTGTTTGAGAAAGTCATTAGAAATCTAATGGAAGAGATACAGGCGCTAGAAAGTTCAATTTTTTTGTCGTCAATTCTCCCAACATACAAAACAAAGTAATCAACTAATAATCGAAAGTGTAGCGTCCAAAAACTAAACCAGAATGTATATATATATTTAAAAAAAACGAATACAGGTTTACTACTGATCTGACTGGGAAAGCCACCACATCAGAAGCAATGAATGGTGCAGCACTAGTCAGTTACTGGAATAAATGAAAACAAGCCGCAATAGACACCATGAAGACAATGTTAAAAAAAACCGTAACAACACATAAACCCATATAAATGTAACTTGGATAATGAAACAATCGCTAATGACTTTCCACAGCTGTTAGCATCGTGGCTAACGCTGAAGGCTCCGTGCTAGCTCATGTGGCCATGCTAACAATGCTAAGCTAACAGGGCGGCTGGTGGAATAGCTCAATTATTACCGGGAGATTTTAAACTTTGATACGAGACAACGTGGGGGTTTGTTCTACTCTTCGATCGCACCAACTCCACCGTCTTACCGTGAGGTGTGTGAAGCCTTGAAAGAGTTTTTATTCCTGTGGCGCTAACACGGCGGAGGTCCCGGACAGAGCGCCGGTGTGAAAGGAAGTGACGCAATGCCACCAAGCACTTCCGGTTATTTTCTTCCAATATATATTTTTTTTCCCCATGTATTTTTTTTCTTGACTTTATCATGTTATTGATTTGCAAAGCAGGGCAACGATCACAAATAACAATGTAAAACACATACACAGATGTAATCAAGGGAACGGTCTGGAGTTTCATTATTGCAACAAAATATCAATGTTTATTATATGACTTGGACCGTAGGCGCGCTCTGATTGGCTGTTTTGCGGTCTGATATGTTCCCATCTCGGACCATTACCATGACAATTGGTCCGCAGCGCATATCAGATTTGATATCTTTCCTCGGTAACAAAAGAAATAATGAGCGACGAATGGGAGTATTCTCCCAGTGAATTCTAATATCCGGACGAGTTCATTGGGCCGGAGGAAGTAATAACAGCAAATAACTACGAAAACACAGCTCCTAACAGTCAAGAAGAGATTGAAAACTTTGATACAGAACAGAAAAATAAAGCCACGATTAGGAAAACCAAGTCGGACATGAACATACTTCACAAATATGTAAAAAGCATTGGGAAAGACACAGAAGGGATCGAGAACTTACCAGCCGGCGACCTCAATCATCTGATAAGTTCTCCATGTCACGATTTGACAGTTTGGTTGCATGTGTTTTTGCTAGCTAGTTTAAACCGATCAATAAAAATAGTCATATAATAAAAATTGTATTAACCTCGATGCTCGGTCTGTACAGAGAAATAACAGACCTTGGTCTTTTTGCACAGATCTCGCCACGGCTTGGTCGGTACAAAAAGGCTGATATTTCTCTGTACAGACCTCGCGCTCGTTTAATAAGCCGTTAATACATAATTTTACTCACGTCATGCAAAAGTGCACATATTTGTGGACTTTCAATAACATTTTAAATGTTTTCTTCCCATTAGAGGGCTATGTATTCAGGAGAGTTGCACACATACCATGGATAGACCTTGAAGTATACAAGAAAGGTGTTATGTTGGGTCATCTTCACAGCTGTAGTGTCAAGGTGTTCATTTAGGGTGCAAACTTCAAAGAGGAAAAAGAGTCTGAAATAGAAAGTCTGAGGAATTCAAGTGGGTGTGTTTGCGTGTGTGTGTGTGTGTGTCTGTATGTGAGAGAGGGGAGAGGGTTTGGATGTGGTCTTTACAAATGATTCGGAAGCTGGCCTATATTTCAGTCCAGGAAACAAAGGCACCATACGATGTTGTGTGTTTTGAGGTCAAAATAAATAAGAGAGCTCTCATGTGTACTATTGGTGCACACTGGTGTAGTCTTGCACGTTACTCCAATGTGGTTTCACTGTAAATAAAAAAATTAACTAAATCTTGAATCTTGATCTATGGTTTTGCACACTATTCCAAACTAACTTCAGGAAGGGCCCGACTACCAAAAGTAAATTCAATTGTTGTGAAATCTTTGCATTAGACACATTTTACAATTGTACACTGTAGACGCAAATGTATTTCAAAATGATGTGGCTTTTTGGTTTGTTTTAATTTGTGTGATTTACTTTATTCATTTGTATATCTTTGTCCAAAAAGTACGGCAAAAAAATGTGTAATTGGATTTTGTTTGCAGCATGAAGGCACAAGGGAGAGAGCCTCCTTGCACTTTATATTGCCGATGAGAAAAACAAATGCGAATCAGCTCCCACTCAGAGTAAATTACTGCAGAGAAGAGGTCTGTGAACTGTGATTACGCCAAAGCTTCAAGTGGCGACGCAAAATAGTTTTCAAAGTGCTCTGCAAATAGAGGTGTGTGAAGAAAAAGTCTCATCTCAAATTCAATCTGGTTTTTATTCGTTATATGATATTATTTGTTCAAAAACGTTGTGCTTTTTCCATCTGTGAGAGCCTTGGATCTCTGTTGTAGACTTTTATTATTTGAATTTTCAATATCGACACGATGTAATACATTAAATGAAACTACCGAGTTCCAAATCTTGGGGTAGAGCTAAATGAATCAGTGCAAGTTTATTTGTATACAGTACAGTTCATTACAAGACAACTCAAGGTGATGGACAAAACAAGAAAAGAAACCACACAAGGCATATTAATCACAGTAGGAGTGAAGACACAATCCTTCAGTTGTATGCACAGCTAAACAGAACTGTTTTTAACCTGGATTTGAATATTGTCATAGAATAAGGCTGTCTCATATTTTCAGGAAGACTGCTCTAGATTTTAGATTTTGAATCTGGAATGCCCCTATGTTTAGTCTTGACTCTGAGTTGGAGGCCAGTCCCTGTGCTCCTCAGAGTCCCAGCAAGAGGCCAGTCCCTGTGCTCCTCAGAGTCCCAGCAGGAGGCCAGTCCCTGTGCTCCTCAGAGTCCCAGCAGGAGGCCAGTCCCTGTGCTCCTCAGAGTCTGAGTAGGAGGCCAGTCCCTGTGCTCCTCAGAGTCCCAGAAAGAGGCCAGTCCTTGAGCCCGAGATGCGTGCTCCTCCTCTGTGTCTACACCTCACTGTGATTGGTTAAATCCACCTGTCACTCACAGCTCCAAATCAGTGACTCAAAATCTGCACGAAACAGGACGCTGCATTCCATCACTTGGACACAGTTTTCGATCGAGTCACTGTGGTCTTTGCAGCTGAGACCACATTAATTACAGCTCCTGAGGTCAGGCAGACAGGGTGGGACCTCACTCTCACACTTCTTAATCACAGAAAAAATGTGTTTGAGCTTTATTATTCACATATGACTCATAAACACACATGCTTATGATAAATGCTCATGTTTAACCAACGATTAGGCATAATCAAGCATCGTTTCCCTGACAACAATCTTACATATTTTTATCTTCAGTTGATTGTGTTTGAGAGCAGAAAATGATCGACATGGAGTAAATGTGGTTATTGCCTTCCTGTTTACTTTATTGTTGCATCTTTGTATAAAAAAGTAAGAAAAAAAGAAAGAAAAGTATATGCATCTACAGTGCCTTGCGAAAGTATTCATTTCTGCCACATTTCAGGCTTCAAACATAAAGATATAAAATTTTAATTTTTTGTCATGCATCAACAACAAGTGGGACACAATCGTGAAGTGGAACGAAATTTATTGGATAATTTAAACCTTTTTAACAAATAAAAAACTGAAAAGTGGGGCAAGGCAATATTATTCGGCCCCTTTACTTTCAGTGCAGCAAACTCACTCCAGAAGTTCAGTGAGGATCTTTGAATGATCCAATGTTGTCCTAAATGACTGATGATAAATAGAATGCACCTGTGTGTAATCAAGTCTCCGTATAAATGCACCTGCTCTTTGATAGTCTCAGGGTTCTGTTTAAAGCGCAGAGAGAACCATGAAGACAAAAGGAACACACCAGGCAGGTCCGAGATACTGTTATGGAGAAGTTTAAAGCCGGATTTGGATACAAAAAGATCTCCCAAGCTTTCAACATCTCAAGGAGCAATGTGCAAGCAATTATATTGAAATGGAAGGAGTATCAGACCACTGCAGATCTACCAAGACCCGGCCGTCCCTCCAAACTTTCATCTCAAACAAGGAGAAGACTGATCAGAGATGCAGCCAAGAGGCCCATGATCACTCTGGATGAACTGCAGATATTCTGATATTCTATTTATCATCATCAGTCATTTAGGACAACATTGGATCATTCAAAGATCCTCACTGAACTTCTGGAGTGAGTTTGCTGCACTGAAAGTAAAGGGGCCGAATAATATTGCATGCCCCACTTTTCAGTTTTTTATTTGTTAAAAAAGTTTAAATTATCCAATACATTTCGTTCCACTTCACGATTGTGTCCCATTTGTTGTTGATTCATGACAAAACATTAAAATGTTATATCTTTATGTTTGAAGCCTGAAATGTGGCAAAATGTTGAAAGGGGCCGAATACATTCGCAAGGCACTATCTATCTATCTATCTATCTATCTATCTATCTATCTATCTATCTATCTATCTATCTATCTATCTATCTATCTATCTATCTATCTATCTATCTATCTATCTATCTATCTATCTATCTATCTATCTATCTATCCATCTATCCATCTATCCATCTATCTATTGATCTGAAATCACAAAACTAAAACATGGGGGTGAGAGGTTTTATGTTACTTGACCTATTGCATCTGTGTGTTAATATTTTATAAGTGGTTTCCGTTGTGTTTAAGTCCATTTTTTCAAACGCCTATAGATGAAGTTGCCATACAGTTTTTCTCAGTCGCTTTGGTGCATTTCTCACATCATTCTTCACAACTGTTGGTGCATTTCTCAGAACAATTAGTGTAAACTGCAGAACCTCGTGGATAACCTGCAAAAGTGCGTCACTTTCTCAAAATGAAAAGTTTTTTCCTCAAAAGCAAGTCCAAACGTTAATGAAACTGTCTATGTCGTCAAAATAATATGTCCTAACAACATTGAGTATGAACATCACAGTCAAATGACTTAGTCATGTTTTCATTGTGAAAGTTTACTCTCTGTGTTTTCAGTGTAAAAAAGTCAGATCTCGGTGACACTTGAGCACGACTATGAGCACACTATACACGACCTGTACAGCCATTTACAGTAAAAACTACAGTATGTATGTATGTACTGTATGTATATGTATGTATGTATGTGTGTATCTATGTATGTATGTACTGTATGTATGTATGTATGTGTACTGCATATGCTCTTTGTATTTTTGTTGCACAATGCTGTAGAAGTGCAGACACATACATGCATATACATAGAACAAACATACAGAAATATCATTATGGTAGAACTGTGACAAAAATAAACAATAAAGCACACCTCAGAGTGAAGCTGAAATTCACCTGAGATAAATTGTTCAATTTAGGAAATATTTACAGGAAAAAAAAGATAAAGGAATGTATGAAATTAGCTTGACAGTTATGATTTTGAGAACTAGTTCAACAATTTTGAATGTGATGAGCAAAGCGATGAAATGAGAACAGTTAGTTTTATAGTGAAAGACTATTCAGAAGTCATAAGTATGTTTCATTCTGATTGACAGGACAGAAGCAAATGATAATGTTAAAAAAACGCCGAGAATTGTTTGAAAGTTATTGATACATGAACGAAAGCATTTGAAATGTGTTCAGAGGAATGAGAAACTGCCGTGATGATGTGCACCAATGACCCAATGTTGTGGAGGTTGAACTACGGCACGGTGGCTGAGTGGATAGCACTCTTGAGTGGATAGCACTCTTGCCTCTCAGCAAGAAGGTCCTGGGTTCGAATCCCGGCTGGACCAGGGCCTTTCTGAGTGGAGTTTGCATGTTCTCCCTGTGTCTGCGTAGGTTTCCTCCGGGTACTCCGGTTTCCCCTACCACTAAAAATATGTACAATAGGTCTGGCATGCGCCTCCTGTTCGGCGACCCCGCTCCCATCTCTGTGTGGAGCGAGAGGACAAGTGCCCAAAAAATAACAATTGTAAACCGCTTTGTGACTCTGGTCTGTGAAAGGCGGTATATAAAATAAAGCTTACTTACTAATAGTTTTGAGAAGTTTAAGTCTGATGTGAGAAATGCACCAAAGCAACTGAGAAAAACTGTAAACATGCCGGTGAAACAGGCTGTTCTGTCCATACTGATGGTGGGTGAGTTCCCGTGGGCTGAGGCTGACTCATAACATCACTTAGTACCTCCCGTGGCCTTCACGGGGCAAACACACACTTTTGTAATAAACCATTCAATTAAAGTTAGATCTCACAAAGTGGCCATGTTTGCGTATATGATTGTTTCTTTAGTATAAGTCCAAACTATTCTGATATAAAAGGCTGGTTTGTGTGGAGAGATGGAAATATTAACAATGCAATCTTGACAGTACAAATGTTCTTTCTCTCAAGGCCAAGGCTGGATTTGTAGAATACTGAAATCCAATGTATTCAATTTAAGTTATATAAGGTAGTAGCATTGGCCTTAAGGCCAGAAGGTCGTGGGTTCAATTCCCACCTCTACACCTTCTCCACCGACTCCCACTGATGACTGCTGTTGTTGTGTCCTTGGGCAAGACACTTAACCCCACTTTGCCCAAAAGCCCCCGCTGGAAGATCTCAGCTCCTGTGGACTCACCACCCGCAGAGGATCAGTGAGGGGCTGGTGCTATGAGATTTGGGTGGCATCTCTGACTGCCACCCCCCTGACCCAGAAATGGATTAAAGGGTAGAAAATGGATGGATGGATGGAAGGTAGTAGTGAATCTTAAAATGTAATATCTTGAACTCGAGTACTACAACAATCATGAAAATACTAGCACTCCCAGGGCTAATTTGAGTGCTCTAATTCAAACATATAGAAAACTGAGATATGGCAACACAAATATTTAGTTTTTGTTAAAGGTATGTGATTTATATGTCCAGGACCAGAGTAGCCAGGAACAAAACCAGCCCAGACCCAGTCCAGGACCAGAACCAGTCCAGGACCAGTACCCTGAAAACAGGTTTTTAACTGCCATTGAAAGAAAGCAATTGAAAATGGCTCCTTTTGAATTGGACTTTGGTAGGACCGTAGAATTGACTCCCACAGACATAACAGTTAGTCCTTCGCACAGTTCGCAGTGAGCACAAGGCTTTCTGCACGACTTTTCTGTGAGCATCATGGGCTCGGCAAATCCAGCCCAGTGGAAGGAAGCGTCTCCTTAACGGGTTTGTGATGACAGTTTTATGGTCTGCGACGCCGCCGAGCTGAGGGTGCGTGGGAGAGATGCCGACACAAGCAACCAACACTGCAGCTTTATGTGGTCACTTTGCATCTGGAAACACAAGGAGCGGGTTTTCAGGGACAGAACCCCAGCTCTCACATGACACATGGATTAGAGTGTGTTTCTCATTCTTTCCCATTGTTTTATTCAGAATCTTCGTACCTTCAAAACTCTGATGATGGAATCCACCTGCTGAAGTTGAGCTAGAAACAGTATAAACTCTGTTCACTGTTTTACTACTACTAATAGTCTTTTTGTCAAACCGGTTTATCGCTTTTTTGAACACTCAAAGACGCTTCACATGTCACTATTCTTTCCCTCCATACACAGTGGTGAAATACTACTACAGCAACCAGAAACTGCCCTGGGGCACACTGACAGAAGCGAGGCAACCAGTATGTACCATTGGCCCTTCTGATGACCACCACCAACCATTCACACACACCAGAATCATTCTAGGCAATGGGGGTGAATTGTCTTGCCGAACGACACAACAACAGTTTGGCACTTTACAGCCGCAGCCGCCCCACTGTGGCACCTGGTGTTCACGGAGGTCTCCCTGAGTCCCATCACAGTACTAACCAGGCCACATTCACCCATGTTGACTAGAATGAGTCTGGTGTGTGTGTGAATGGTTGGTGATGATCGGAGAGGCCAATGGCACAGACTGGTTGCCTTGCTTCTGTCAGTGTGCCCCAGTACAGCTGTGGCTACAGTAGTAGTTTTTCACCATCGTGTATGGAGTGAATGAAGAATGAGTGTCCTGAAAAAGCGCAGTACAAAACCGATGCATTATTATAACATAGAATGAAGACTATTATATGAAGTGCGCAATAACACATTTGACGTAAAGTCAGCACTTAGCTAGTGAGGGTTAATCTAAAGTGTTACCTATATTTACACTTATTACAACAGATAAGTCTTAATATAGAAAATAACCCACCTCCGTAAAGTAGATAGATTCAGTGGAAATCTTTGTTCCAATATTGGCAACTCTGAATAAAAAACACAAAAGAATATTTGAGCTAAGACAACAATATTTAATCATATTATCAACGCAAACAGGACACACACATTGATCATAGAAGATAAGCAGTGTTCATTTTAAAATAGACACAAAGCTATTTACACAAAATACAAAGAAATCTCTCATCATGAAATTTCAATATAAAATAATTCGTTTAAATTCATTCTCTAAACAAAAAATGACAAACTACTTTAGAATAAATGCATAATGATTCTGCTCTATATACAAAATACTGTGTCGCACACATAGAAAAATATTAGTTTGAATAATGTAACGTTATTCTGTAAAGTTGTACAAACCAGAGCAAAGTTCTGGTTCAAGAACATTCATGATTGCAACACGGAGAAAGTTATTTAATGCACTTTCTCCAAAATCCTTAGAAATCACATGTGTTAGTTGGTAAACCCAGAGACCGTTCATTTATTGTAATTTGTACAAATTGCTTTTTATTTCACCAAAGCAGGAGTCTCAAACACAAGTCTGGGTGAAGCTGGTCCGCATTAAGGGATATATTTATCACCTGTGTTTGTCTGTGCGCAAAATATCGGAGTCTTGGAGCAAACGGCTTCAATGCACACGCAGAGATAGAACCAAAATTCTCAAATCGCACACGCTTTTTCACTTCGCACACGCAGTTTAGCTCCTGGATAATTTTAATAAACTGCTACATTTCAAACCGTGCATCTTCTCAGTCTTTAAACCAAGACACCAAGACACCAAACACCAAATCATCTTTTATAAATTACTGTATAAACTGCATACATATTATGTTTCTATGTCCTGGTCATTTTGACATTTTAGTGCAAATTAGATAAAATCTCACTTTTGAGCCTAAAAACGTCTGAGTGGCGTTCTCTCTACATTTTTGGTGGCACTACATTTGAATTTGGTGCCTGGCCTCTCCATTGGCTCTGGAGTGATGTGTGACGTCTGTTGGTTCTGTGTGAGGTCCGTCGCTCTGAGCCTGTGGTATAAAAGTTGTGTGCTTCCCTGTGTGCTCTTACTACTGGGCGGCACGGTGGCTGAGTGGATAGCACTCTCACCTCTCAGCAAGAAGGTCCTGGGTTCAAATCCCGGTCGGTCCAGGGCCTTTCTGAGTGGAGTTTGCATGTCCTCCCCGTGTCTGCGTAGGTTTCCTCCGGTTTCCCCTACCACTATAAACATGTCCAATAGTTCTGGCATGTGCCTCCTGTACTGGCGACCCCGCTCCCATCTCTGTGTGGAGTGAGAGACAAATGCCCAAAAATAACAATTGTAAACCGCTTTGTGACTCTGGTCTGTGAAAGGCGGTATATAAATAAAAATTACTACTGCCCTATATGTGCGCTGCAACATAGAAAATTCCCAACTATGCGACGAATAAAGGATTTCTTATCGTAGCTATTTGTCGATTTCACTTATGGTGTACATGTAATGTACTTGTAGAATTCAAGAAAAGTCATTGTGCAATTTATTTCCAAGGTTTTGTCAAGTAAACTTTATCTGTGAGGGTTTACAGTGTAGTTAAATAATGTTTATTTTGAATTATTGCTCTCAGGGTTCAATGTTTATGGTAAAATTATTGGCATGGTTGTTTTCTTGATAGAATTACCTTTACAACTATGTAAAACATGCCATATTTGCACAGACTCTCAGCGGGGGCCCCACTAACATTAAAGTTTGATGTCCTGTAACCTTTCTGCAAATAGCCCGCAGACCGCATGTTTGAGACCACTGCTCTAAAGGGAGTCTCGTGTGTGCACTTGGGAAAACTATCAGCAGTGAGACAGTAAAATGTTTTGAGTCACAATAGTTACTTTTCTTTTTTGCATTTGGATGGAACATAAACACACGTCGTTTGTAATGAGACACAAGCCAACATGCAAACACACAAACGCACGCACGCACGCACTCACTCACACACACACACATACACACAATCAGCATCATGTGGAACTATTGTCATGACACAGTGAACGAGTAATCAGTTGGTTTTGATTGTGGGATCATTATTGTATTTTTGTTCTTGTTTTGTAAAATTTCTCCGTGAACAATATTGTGCTAACTTGCATTACCGTACCCTCTCAGTCGTCACAAACCATTACACCATCAACATCATCAGGATTGTGGTCAGTTGAAAATCAGTGTTGTTTATGAAGCAGAAATTATCGAACAAAACACTTATAAATGATCTGACAGAAAGCTGCAGTAAGTGTTTAAGGGATTCCTCCAAACTCAGAATGGGTGCAATGCTGCTGAATGTCTGTCTGTCTATCTATCAATCCATCTGTCTGTCTGACTGTCTGTCTGTCTGTCTGTCCCTCTGGCGTCTGTCTCTCTGTCTGTCTGTCTATCTGTCTATCTGTCGGACTGTCTGTCCATCTGGCGTCTGTCTGTCTGTCTGTCTGTCTGTATGTCAGTCTGTCTGTTCGGGCCTGAAAGTTGTGGGTTTGAGCCCACCACGAGACCGACTTCACGACTCCCACAAATGACTACTGTCGTTGTGTCCTTGGGCAAGACACTTAACCCCACTTTGCCTGAAGCCCCCTGCAGCTCTGACTGCCACCCCCATGACCCAGAAATGGATTAAGATGAAGAAAATGGATGGATGGATAATCACAGCCCATTTGAATGAGATAGTCTTGTATGTCTCAGACATGTCAATGTGTTTGTCTCTGTTTGTTTCTCTGTTTGTCTTAAGATAGAAACAGTGACACAAGGCATTACATACATACATAATAATAGATGTACATAATCATACATACATAATCACAGTCCATTTGAATGAGACAGACATGTTTGACTTCAGGAAGTTATTAAAGCTGTATTGTGCAACTTTCTGCTTTTTCCCATCTACTAGATATTGTAGTTTCTCATCGAATGTATCACAGAGTGCATTAAACCTCTATAGAAGAAAGTTACTTCACAAGGTGAAGTTATAACCTGCTGAAAGGAGAGTAAACCCAATGATAGGATTCAGAGTTTTGAGCAAATACAGTTTTTTCAGTGGCTTTTCTGCTTTTCTCAGATCACAATGAAGGTTTTCACAACTATTAGTTCAAGTCAACAACATCGTGTCATTACTGCACGTGCACATCATTGTAGCAGTTTCTTCTTTGAACAAATGTAAAAGGCTTGGAAACACAAGCTGTTTTATGACATTATCATTTGCTTCTGTCATGTCAGTCAAATAAACATACACACATACATACGTACATACATACATACACACACACACATACATAAATACATACATACATATGTGTCTTGTACTCAGTTACTTCCCTAAATACAGTCATGTGTAACTTTACTGTAGGTTTCAGCTGTACAGGTTGCTCACCAAGTATCACCAAGATCTGACTGTTTTGCTTTGAAAGCACAGAGAGAGTAAACAGTCACAATGAAAGCATGACTAAACCATTTGACTGTCATGTCATGTCATTGTCCATCCCTTTATTAATCAATTTCAATCAATCAAAGGGGGGTTCGCAATCAGATCTGCCACCCAAGTCTCATAGCACCAACCATTTGACTGTGTTGTTCATAAACACTGGTGTCTGGACTTATTATTTTGAGATACAAACAGTTTCATTGACATGAAGAAGTGACACACTTTTGCAGGTTAACCACTAGGTTTTGCAGTCTGTACAAATTTTTCTGAAAAAATGCACTAACTGTTGTGCAAATGTTAATAGAAATGTGGAAACATCACCAAAGCCACTGACATCTGTAAACTGTGAGCATTTTTATTTTGCATCTTGCTTTCGTTCAAACAAATGTGTATTTTGTTTGTGATTTGTGTCTTTAAAAAGATGGAGCCAAAACTAGATTAATTTAAATTAAAGCCTGATTTAGGAGAATCTGCTATACATTTATAAACATAGATATAATAAACACCATGTTCATTGTCAAACATGATGTGTGAGCTAATATCTGATGACACATATACAAGATATAGGTGTACTGATAATATGACCCTTTAAATAATGTTTTATACCACACTGAGGAACACTCCTGGCAACAATAAACCTTCTCCATGGCAGTAAGTGTGAAAAATACATCTGCTGCTGGTCGGAGAGTTTGTGTGAACTTTGGTAAAAATAGCTGCACTTCAGATTTATGTAAGCATTCGAAAAGGGACAATCTTTATGCTGCAAAACTGTGATGGCGAGAACACTATGTACAGATCGGTATGTTCCTCTGAGATGACCTGATGATTTTAAAGAAGAAAATAGTCAATTCTTCAGAAATAAACTACCTGTAAACTTGCTTTTTTGTAACATTGTCTTTTTTTTTTTTTTTTACTTTGTGACCTTGATCTGTGAAAAGCGCTGTATAAGTAAAGATTACAGACTTACTTGCTGTTTGATGTCTATTATTTGTACAAAATATACATCAAAACCCTCAGAGAAAAAAAACAGCTTAAAACAGTAAGTTGTCCTTCGTCTTTGATCTGTTATAAGTAGCTAATCTCTAGAGACGTGCTCTGCTCAGCCGTGTTCTCCTCTGGCAGAGTTTTGATGCTCCCGTTTTTGGCTCCATTCAAAATAACTGGGGTAGCGAGGCCCAACCCGTTGACTGAGATATTTTGACATTTTCCATCGTCTATTTTGTCTCTCCTTTCGGGTGAGGACATGTCGCTCATCCCCGGCATCAACCGAGTGTCCGAGAACAACATTTGAGAAGTCTGCTGACGGAGATCGCAGTTGCCGTTTTGCGCGATCCGGTAGATTTCGGTCATTTCGGATATGTTCTCGTCGTCGTCATCCACGTCTCGGATGACTCTCCTCAAGCTTTCGCGTGGCATTAGCGCGCGCCTGCTCTCGTCCTGCTGCGCTTGCCTCTCGTTCGGCGCGTGGTTCTCGATCCTTCTCGTCGACCGGCAAAGCGCTTTCCTGAAACCTCGTTTGAAGTTGTCCGAAAGGAAGCCGTAGACGATGGGGTTGGCGCAGCTGTTGGCGTAACCGAGGAGCACGACAAAGAAGTACAGCCCTTGGTAATCCGGAGGCAGCGCTACTAGCAAATTTATGATATTCAGGAGATAAAAGGGCATCCAGCAGAAAACAAACAAAGCCACTACGATGATGACCATATGCGTGACTTTCCGCTCCGATTTTCTGCGTTTTGTTGACGTGGCATGGACTTTTTTGCCCGAGCTGCGGATCTTGAACACTATAAGCAAGTAGCAGAAGCAGATAATTAAAAGGGGAAAGAAAAAGCCGACGGTTGTGGTGTAAATGATGAAGGCGGCACGCCAAATATTGGAAGGTTCGGGCCAGGCGATGTTGCAAGTCCCGCCTTTTTTCTGGATGTTTGAGAAGATTACAACAGGCAAGACCACGAGAAACGAAAGCGCCCAGACTGTCCCGTTGATGATCTTAGCCATTTGCGGGCGTCGCCATTTTGAGGAGCGAATGGGGTGGACTACGGCAAGGTACCGGTCGATCGTCATGACGGTCAAGCAGAAAATACTCGTGAACTGGTTGATGGAGTCCACGGTCAAAACCAAACGGCACATAAAAGATCCAAACGGCCAAGACTGTAGGGTATTTTGAATGGCTAAAAAAGGCAGTCCAATCATGAAAAGTTCGTCAGCAATCGCCAAGTTCAAGATGTAGATATTTGTGACCGATTCGATTTTGGAATAGTGGAGGATTATGTGAATGACCAGAGTGTTGCCTCCCAGTCCGATGATGCAAACCACTATATAGATCAAAGGTATGAGCACCCCGGTTATGGTAGGTCCCGTAGAATCCGCTGGGACTGCAGTGGAGTTGGTTTGGTTAAACAGCGAATCGTTAAAAGCGCTATCGTTGAACATGAGCAGGAAATAGTTGACGGGTGTGGGCCTGGTCCAGCTGGCGTTCGCCCACAGGCCATCGGTGGCATCTGCTTCGAGTTGCGCCATGGTGTCTCCCAAACCTGGTTTTTGGTCACCGCTTGGTTCCCTTTGACACCTCAGCAGCAGCGCGCCAACTGCTCTGCGAAAGAAAGTGAACAGATGGTTTAGGACAGGCAAGAAAAGATAATGTGTGTGTTTACTTGACAGTGTACGTTAATGAGCTATGGTGTGAATGTGCCAGATGTTATTGTAAAAGGCACATTGATTGAAAAGAAACATTTAACTTTCCAAGGGCTAAAATGTGCAGACTTGCTTTCATCCTGGACCAGACCTAAAGTATTTAAGTGCAGTAACATGGTTAAAAGGGTGCGTGGATGTTCTCCTTTTTTAGCTTAGAGAACAGATAATAAAGATGTTCTCTAAGCCAGCTATAAGCCATCTTGAAATTTCCCCGCTGTGGGACGATTAAAGGATCTGTTCATTTTAATACATGTTTACAGTATGTGGACTGCTACTGCTCTTTGTGAATACAGTTGCATGAATCATTATGCACACGCAGAGACTGATCAGTATATCCAAATTTTATTACCTAATAACGTTGTCAATTATTGCCTCCAACGCTTTGCCACCATCTGCTGCGTGAGAGGAGAGAGAGCCAGACGCAGATCTGCACAAGCAAATGCTGCCTTTTTTGGGTAACTGCGACAACAACGTGCTCAAACAGGAATGCTTTTTCGGAGAGATACAAAGGTTATTCTTAAATTTACTTTTCACACTGAGTGGGATTGTGAGTCAGCCATATTCCTCATTTGCAACTCTCCAAGTGTAATTTAGGATATTTGTTATTTAGGATAGAAATAAGATAAAGTATCTTTGTTCGGCTCAACAATGGGGACGTTTCAATGTCATAGTTGCGGTACTAAAGAGCACTCAGGTTACACACTTCAAAAGGGATCTACTATTGACGGTAATAGATGATATAATATTAGGATATCAGTATAATCTATAACTCTGGAGCTAGTATTGCAATTGTTTCAATTATAAGTACAACATTATTTAGTTACATATGTTGATATTGTACTGAATCTTATGGTTAGCAGTTTGCACATACACAGACGCAGAAGTCAGTCAAATATATATTTTGGGATGAATTTTCTAGATGTCCTGCTATCACTGGGGGGCCACCACTGTGTCCTGGTTGACCCCCGGACTGACTAATCGAGTGCAACATCTTGGCTGATATATACAGGGGTGTCTGTCACTGTGGGGGGTCTTTCTGACAACATCATGTAGCTGGAGTCCTGCTGCTCAGGGCCAGAGCCTCTCTCTCTCTCTGTTCTCATCAGAACAGGAGAATGGTACATGTCCAGGCTCAGCAGTTCTCTTTGTACAGTCTGACAGCAGCAGGAAGAAGGAAGGACCTGCAAAACCTCTCCTCCACATTTTGAGGGTGGAACAGTCTGTCACTGAAACTGCTCTCCAAAGCAGACAGTGTACTTATTACCAATTTGGTTTATGCCTAATGTATTAAATTAAGCAACAGCGAGATTCTTATAACAACCTGCCATTATGTAAAGGAACTGACAGCAAATTATCTATCTGTTCGCCTTCTGCTGCCTGTTGCTGTCTATTGCTGCCTGCTGCTGCCTACTGCTGTTCTACCAATGAGTGCTGTCTCAAGTCAATTTACTCCCACACTCAAGCATGAAATTATAATGCTTCTCTGGCCACTGTGCAGTAATTTAAATTCATCTTCCCTGCTATGAGACTAGTATCCAATCCACATTATTTATATAGCACATTTATAGAAAAGTTACCAAGTAAGTTGAAACCAATTCAATTCAGTTGCAATGGGGTAATTTGTAAGGGCTAAACGAAAGTGTGACCATATTTTTTTATATGATCATTAAAAAAGAAAATGACTGCAGCCAAAACCGAAGTACAAAGTAAAGAGCACTATTCCTGTTGTTTCCATGTGTTCCCAGACATCATGTTATTGCCACTTAAAGTATAAAGTGTAAGTAGTGTCTGGAAAAGCACCTCTGGTTCAGTTCAAAACTTCATCTATAGCTGTTGTCAATTTGGTGGTACAATTTGCCTCTTGTTATCTATAGTCTTTGGTACCCGAGTGTGCTTGTGTGTGTGTGCTGTATGCATTACCTGAGTGTGTGTGTGTATGCTGTGTGCAGTACCTGAGTGTGTGTGTGTATGCTGTGTGCAGTACCTGAGTGTGTGTGTGTATGCTGTGTGCAGTACCTGAGTGTGTGTGTGCAGTACCTGAGTGTTTCTCTGTGTGTGTGTGGGTGTGTGTGTGCTGTGTGCAGTACCTGAGTGTGTGTGTGTATGCTGTGTTCAGTACCTGAGTGTGTGTGTGTATGCTGTGTGCAGTACCTGAGTGTGTGTGTGTATGCTGTGTTCAGTACCTGAGTGTGTGTGTGCGTGTGCTGTGTGCAGTACCTGAGTGTGTGTGTGTATGCTGTGTGCAGTACCTGAGTGTGTGTGTGTGTATGCTGTGTGCAGTACCTGAGTGTGTGTGTGTATGCTGTGTGCAGTACCTGAGTGTGTGTGTGTATGCTGTGTGCAGTACCTGAGTGTGTGTGTGTATGCTGTGTGCAGTACCTGAGTGTGTGTGTGTATGCTGTGTGCAGTACCTGAGTGTGTGTGTGCAGTACCTGAGTGTTTCTCTGTGTGTGTGTGTGTGCTGTGTACAGTACCTGAGTGTGTGTGTGTATGCTGTGTGCAGTCCCTGAGTGTGTGTGTGTGTGCTGTGTGCAGTACCTGAGTGTATGTGTGTGCAGTACCTGAGTGTTTCTCTGTGTGTGTGTGTGTGAGTGTGTGTGTGTGTGCAGTACCTGAGTGAGTGTGTGTGTGCAGTACCTTAGTGTTTGTTTGTGTGTGTGTGTGGGTGTGTGTGCAGTACCTGAGTGTGTGTGTGTGTGCTGTGTGCAGTACCTGAGTGTGTGTGTGTATGCTGTGCAGTACCTGAGTGTGTGTGTATGCTGTGTGCAGTACCTTAGTGTGTGTGTGCAGTACCTGAGTGTTTCTGTATGTGTGTGTGTGTGTGTGTGTGTGTGCTGTGTGCAGTACCTGAGTGAGTGTGTGTGTGCAGTACCTTAGTGTTTTTTTTGTGTGTGTGTGTGTGTGTGTGTGTGTGTGTGCAGTACCTGAGTGTGTCTGTGTAGAGATTATACATCTAGATTCAGAAACTACAGTAAAAATACAAATCATAGTAATATCCTGCTAACTACTGTATATACAGAGCATATACAGACAGTTACATCATATATCGTTTCAAATTGCATTTACATGATTGAGATAGAATATGAGCTTTGTCTGTATGTGTTACTTTTGTACTTGTTTAAGTGCAGGTTTGAAATAATATCTTGACTAACTACCAGTTAGGGACAGTAATGACGCTACTTGTAACGACACCACTAGCTTAGTTACATTTTTCAGTACCTTGACCGTAACGTTGCTCTTTACAAAACCAAGTAACCTTTCTGTAGCTAAACTAATTTATTGATCAAGTAGCGCAGTGGCGTCGTCAAAGGCCATTTTTGCCTGGACATTTCTGATGTTCGTTCATTATAGCGTTTTCAGCAGATAGGATGTTTTTGTGTCCTCGACAACACGCCGGGTACAAACTGAAATCCTTTATGATTTGATCTTGTCAACCGTTAGCAAAACAGTAACAACAGCGTCAATACTTTATTCCGTTGCTGTGAATGCCTTTTGTTCCCAGAGGTTATCGTGTATTCTATGGTGCACATGTGAAGCGAAAGGTTTAACACAAAGCTCTTTCACAAAAGGGTTGGGGATAAAAAGAGTGGACCCTTGACGGTGCTGTTCAGGACATCACACTGTTGAAGTGGAACAGAAGCCCACGCAACTTCCACTAACATTATCAAGTGTGAGAATCTGGTATTATGAATATGAGCGTCTGCATTAAAGTGAGTTTTAGCCCAGTGCTGAAATATGTTATGCTAAGAAAAGCTATTAGTCTCACATTGATTGGGTTTGGATTGAAAACCTTTTTTGTGACACAGCTGTTATAAGGCAGCACTCTATAGCACTCTCGCTTCTAAGCAAGAAGATCCTGGGTTTGATCCTGATTAAAATATTTCTGTGTGAAGTTTGTGTGTTCTCTCCACGCCTGCTTTGGATTCCACCAAGTGCTTTGGTTTCCCCCTTCCAGCCTAAAAAACATGGAGCTGCTCTTTTCTCTGGGGCCAGGACTCCCCTGAAAAAAATATTTAGAAACATCTCAGTGATGCTTTCCTGGCTAAATAAATCCAATCCAATTTATTTAAGTTGTACATTTCTTAAACTTATTCCAAAGTGCCGCACAACAAAATACTTATTAAAACAAATCCACAGTGAAACAAAATCATTAATAGTCAAATAGGAATTTGAGGTATATTTTTTTATTAATGTATTATTATAAAAATAACAATAAAACTAAAAAATTAAAGTACCATACAACTTACACAGTGTTTATTAAATAAAGGTTATTGAAGAAATAAAAAAAATACAAAAACATACATTTTATTTATTTTTATTTGTATAGTTATGTTTATATATATATTTTGTTGGTTCTGGGTTTGTCTTGTCTTCGGTCCTAAATATCTGTATGTATGTGGGATTATCTAAAAAACCCGCATTAAGAATAAATAAATAAAGGTTAATTAAAAAATAAGAAAAAAACATGTGGGGATTACTTGTAAACCAAAGGTATTGCCTCTTCGTTTTTGTTTTATTACTTCCTGTAATCAAATGGCCTTTTTTCCCAACTTCCTGCATGCATTCGAACATGCCATGTTAGATTTAGAAGTAGTGGGACAGAATTTCTAGGATGTTTGAGGATTGTAATAGACAAAAATAAGGCATAATACTTTTTTTTTGTTTAAACTCAACGACTTTATGTCCTTATTTCCACAAGAGCGGCTATTACTTGAGCAGTCGGTGCCCAAAGCAGCTGAAGCGCTCATTAAAAAGCCAGAAGGTGTCACAACGACAGGGTCCTCCTCGTCTGTCCCAATCTGGAAAGAGAATAAGAATTAATTGGT